CATATATAGTTACCATCATTATTGGGGCTATTTAGACTGAAAGATACTTTTGATTTAATGTTTGTTGTCTTTAACATGTCTTAACATATTGTCCCAAGTATAAATTTGTTAGATTTGTTAGTATGAGAGAAATGTTATAGAAGTTCTCTATCTAATTTCATTTAAAATAGTGAATGTAAAACATATCATTTCTCTCACACAAACAAATTATTAAAAAAAATAATCATTTTTCAATCTTTTGTTTATGTTGAACACTCGAAGCAATTAACATACGGATACATAAAATGTGATAGGGTACTAATGTAATCACCCAATTCTTATGATGTTTTTATATATCTAATGCTTAAATTTTACATTTTTCATTTATATTACACAAATTTTTTTTATTTCACATTAAGACATAGTTATTTTAACTTTTAAAAAGTGAAATATATGTTTCATACTAAAGTATCTAAAAGGCTGGCAGACATGTATGTAAAATTGCATTTTATGTAACAATAATATTGTTATTATTGTTCTAAGCTCATTCGACTTCTCTCATCAATGCACTCAATTTGACTATAGGAATGCAAATGTGAAGATTAATTAATATTTCATTTAATTCTTCAAACCTTTGAATTATAACACAAATGCTTGAATTATGCTCGTTTAAAATCAAATTGAATCACATTCTATGTCGTTGGGCTCGTATTGTCAAGATATTAAATTCAACTACAAAATTGCTAAAGTCAGAGCTCAAATGAGCTTAAATTTGACTACATAATCTTTTTGCCCAATATGCTTTGAGATTCGTGCCTTATCAAGTGGATTTGTGGAGACAACAATCCTAAAATTATTGGGTTCACTTGAAGGCGTTTGCAGCACAAATTTTAATTAATTACTTATGTATCATATTATATAAGTTAACTTCAAGGGCAATGATATTTTGATTAGACTTTCTCACTTCAGATATTTTCATTTATAAGTATCCATTGTGTATGCAATTTTTCATTTTCCTTAAATTCCATAAATATTTGATTTTGAATTTTTACTCTATTTTGAATTTGTACTCTTGAACAAAAACTTAAATCCTTAGAAACTTAGTTATATGACCCATAATTTTTCACAATTTAAATTTCAATTTGTAAATATATTTAAATGATATCTACATATTCATTAATATTTTTAAAATATTATTTGACATAAATTCTCATTCGTTGTTTAGATGGCTAGATTATCTAAAGAACTCGCTGAACTCAGTAGACCTAGCAAAGCCAGCTCCAAAGCCAGCTCCAGTCAGCCCGACCACCAGCTCCAATCAGCCCGACCACCACTAGCTCGAGCAGCATGGCCTAACTCTGTTTGGTTGGCCATCTAGGGCAGCTCCATTTGGCAATAATGTTTTTATATGCCAGTACTTTATTGGGTGTTATAAAAATCAAAGTTTATTATTACTAAATTAAAATAATAACATTAACTTAAATAAAAAAATAAAATAAAATGTGCAATTGTCCGAAACCCTTTCCCTCTTTTCCCCCTTTCTACCCGAAACCCTCGCGTGTCACCGGCTTCCTAGTTACGCCCAAAACTATCTCCTTCGTGACCAAACCCTCGGAGAAAACTTGGAAGGCAACGTCAGGATCGCGGTCTGGAGAGCCCTAAAATTCCCTTCTTTCACCTCTTTCCCTTCTGAAAGGTAACTTCACATCTTCCTTTTCGCGGGAAAGCCCACGGATTTGATAAATCCGCTAATTCAGGGGATTTAGTAAAACCGGGATTTAAGGCCGAAATCCATGAAATCCGGATTTATCAAATCTGCGGATCTATTTGCGCAGAATGACCGTCTGACAAGATTTAGGTTAAATCCTGCTATGAATCCGTTATCAGACATTTTTGAGCTTTTTGATTCAGAAATTTTTAAATTTGTAAATTTAATTGAATGATTGTGTCGCTGATTCAAAGGGGGAGAAACGGGATCTAGAATTACGTTGGATTATAGTTTGGGAATTCTACCTTTGGAAGTATTTTAGTTAAAGCTTGCTCGAATCCTGCTCAAATCCTGCTTTCAAACATCCTATTATATCAGAACGCCAGTTTAGCTTACACTTTTTCTGTCCGTTTTCCTGCTCAAATCCTGCTTTAAATTTTAGCTGTTCTGTCTTCTTTTGTTATGAGAAATCTCTGCTTTAAAGTTGTTGGAGAGCATGAATCTTAAAATTTGATTCTGTTGTTTATGGATTTTATGTGTTTTTTAGAACATGAAATACTGTGCTTCCCGTTTCTATTTCTGGACTGCAATTGTCTAATTAATGGTGGATTTGCTGGGGGGGGGGGGGGCTTTGGTTTTTTTATTTTTATATTTTTATATATATATATATTTTCTTTTAGAAGAAGTCCGACAATATCATTGTTGTAGTTATCATGTTATGGTAAATTTGATTGTGAAAAGTTTTTTGTTTCGCTGCATAAACTAAAGAATTAGAATAAGTTGTCATTTTTTTTTCTATGTGGAGGATACCGTTCTTGTTGAGGATGATTTATGCATTTTGTAAGTACTTCTCATTTAGCCATATCAGCCAAGGAAGAAGATCAGTCGGGTCAGGAGAAGGACCGAAAAAATGATTCAGGTCCGGGTCAATCAGACTGGAGCAAACAAATCATCACTAGGGCTGTAAACGAGCCGAGCTTGAGCGAGCTCAGGCTTGGCTCGTGTTCGGCTCGTGTTCGAAATCGGCTCGTGAACAGTGTGTTCGTGTTCGGCTCGATTTAAATATTCGTGTTCGTGTCCGGCTCGTGTTCGGCTCGAAATTGGCTCGTTAAACTAAAATTGAGAAAAATAGATGTGAAGTGTGGGATTCGAACCTGGATCAAATCTATACAAAAGAAGACACTAACCACATTGTCACATGAGGTATTATGATTTAAACTTAGACATAAATATATATATATTGTTATATAAAAAATTATGTAATTTTTTTTTTCGAGCCATTTCGAGCCAAACACGAGCGAACAAACTGTTGTTCGTGTTCGACTCGTTTACATTTCGAGCTTAAAAATTTGTTCGTGTTCGACTCGTTAGGCTTAACAAACGAGCCGAACACGAGCTTCTTTACGAGCCGAACACGAGCTGTTCACAAACAACGAGCCAAATTGACAGCCCTATTTGCTCGACACCCAAGCTAACCATCACAGGAAAGTCGAGCGAAGATATCAATCTATCTCTGAGCAGATCCAACTCGAGCAAAAGAATTAGGTTTCTTGCCATCACCAGACATCCCGAGGACGGCCTCAAGGTTTCTCCTCAAAGACTAAGAATTGGCCATACAACATAGCCTCACAATCTCCTTGAAGGATCTCCCTCATTGAAGAATGACCAGTCTATCGAGTTACGACGATGCACTCTATGTTTCATGGCCTAGCTTTGTTCGGCCGACATAAAATCCTCATATAGGGATCTAGGGTCAGCAATAAGGCTAGATCAACAAATTGGTAAAGCCCAACCAATTGAGCCAGTCTTGCTGAATCGAAGCTAGCAGAATTCAGCTGATTGATTGCACCGACTCAGTCAAACTGACCAAATTTTCGTTACAGTGTCAGAGTCGGAGTCGTGCTAGCCCAATTGACCAAGTCTAAGGGTGGTTGAGCAGCAGACTCATATACATGAAATACTTAAAAATATCCTGTAACATCCCATCAAAGAAAATGTAGAAATATAAAATCATATATTGCATCATGTTCCCTATAAACATTGGGATTATTTCATGAGAAAAGATTCATATACAAAACATTTTACTATAAATTTTTTCTCTCCTTCACATTATCTCTCTCCTTTTCTACTTCTAACTCTTGGGATATGATTTTATGGGCAAACATAGATTCAATAATATCTAAGATCTAAACTTCAAATTTTAAATTCATACCATCTTATTTTTGCATAAGAAAATATATTTTACTTTTTTAAAAATTTAAAATAATGATATTTTTTTAATGTGATATGAAAAATCTTGATGTTGTTGAGTAAAATGTAAAACTTAGGTGTTAGTTAAAAGAAAATACATAAATTTGGTGGTATGGATGTAAATGCTCTCAAATAAAAATAATTGGGGACTTAAAAATTAAAATGATTAAAATATATATATAAGGTCACCATCCAGCTCGTCGTCCCCATTTCCTTTGATCCGCGCCGTTTCAGGCTCTTTCGTCCTCATTGATTCTTCAACTCCAGTGTTCGCCAATCTAGGTACCTGAATTTATTTATTTATTTGTTTTCCTCAGATCCATTTTACTAGAAATCTAATGGAAACCCAAAGAATCGATTAGATAGGTATGGCTCATCGGAGCCCTAGAAAGTGGCGTGCTATTTCCCATCTCTCCTGATTCTAACTTCCGTGCTTCTTAATCCGGCTATCTTTTTATTATGTTATAGGAATGGCTGTATCATTGAGTGCGAAAGATCTTCATTTCTTTTCGACCCTGTTTGGTTTCATCTCAAGGGAAGCTTAATCCCTCCTAATAGGTTTTAAGCCCACTAGATTAAATCTCAAAATTTATTTAGTTTGCTTAATTCTTGAATGGGAGGCTTGATTGAGACTTCTCATTTCACTTAATGGGCTTTCCTCCACCTATCGATGATATCCTCTGTTCGTCATCAACTGTTGTCAGTCATTGGTGGCAAGGTTTCCATGGGCTCTTGCTATATTTGCCACTATTTGTCAATGTTTTATTGCTTGCAAGGTTGACTCTCGGAACCATCCCCATTATTTTTTGTCTTTAGCCACCACTACCATTAAGATTGCCAATGACAACTTATGATGATGTCTTTAGATGTTGTTGTTGTCTGTTAAACCTTTTGCTTCATCCAATTTTGTATCGAGATTCACGTGAATCAACTTTATAAACTCAACAAAACTTATGCTTTAAAACTATTCCCAAACAAAATATTCACTCAAGCAACTTATCTTTGTAACCAATCTAACTTCTTAGCTCAATTTAAGGCTTTTATGTTCATTTATCTCACATATCGAGCATGAGTCAGAGAAAAGCTCGACCCAAAAAAAAAAGCGTCTTTCATTGTCAACTTGTTTACACAAAAATAGTTTTGGTAGTTTGATTTGTTTATTATCTTATGCATATGAATTATTGATATGCCATCAAAATCTTTTTTACTAGTATACCTTCTTATTTTTCTAAAACTTATAAAGATGTGACATTGTCTAACTAGTGTTATGCTCAGAGGGAAATTATTTTAATTATTCTCAGAAAGCCTTCAATTTCAACTTAGTTAAGAAGTAATCCTCTCAAAGTTACTTGCTTACCAAAACTTAATTTTTATTGGCAATAGGGACACTAGTAGAGGTAGGAATAGTGCAACCCTTGCATATTAACTTATTCCATATGTGTATTAAGGGATTGTGTGGTGGTAGTATATTTTTTTGTGCCTGAACATTCCTGATCCACGAGCTAGTGATAAAAACACTAACACAAATGATAATCCATCTAGAGATAGTGTAACTATAGAATATGATTTAATCTTGATACCTAGCCACACCAAGAAACTCAGAAACAATTGTGAGTTGAGCTTTATTAACTCTATTTATTAAACTATATCCATTTGCCTTGTGCACCGTTTGATTCATTCATTTTTTTTATGCTCTAACTTAACTTGTTTTGTCACTGGTTTAAGTCGTTTGCTCCATTCATTGTTCTTCAAACTCATAACTCAAGGACTACTGCCAATTTATATATACAATTAGCACTAAACAAAGGACATCCGAAAAATAAATATATTTTGTTGCTACTTTTTAGTTAAAATGATGCTTCTTAGTTGGCTCCAGACTACCATTGTAAACTTCTTGTTTGGTAATATGGTGAATTAATCTTAGTTGGTTCCTTGCCCAATCTGTACCGGCTCAATTCCATTGGAAAACCAAAGAACAATCTGTTTTATTTGTTCGTCTTCTCATAGGTCAATTGCTCCTAAAATCTTATCGCCATCCGCGCCACATTTATCTCCCACCCCAAAATCTTGATCTGCATATTTTATTACTCAATTCAAATGTCATCGTTCTCTCTTGGTTCATCTATTTGTCTGCAATGTAGAATTGGGCGTAAATGTATAATCATGCTGTAAAGTAGATGTATCATATGATATTTTTGTGAAACTTGTTACAAAGTAAGCTCTGCAATAATATATTGTTTCTATTTGACATTGATTACATTAAGATTTAGCCTTTGAAATCATATTTGTGTGAAGGATAGATTGTTGATGTTGGTATCATGTACTGCAACTTACATAATGATTTTAATAGTGTATTGCATATTATTAATGTTGTTTCTTGTGTTGCATCAAATTGGTTCTCCCTATGAATTTATTTTATTCATAGCCCTATTTGATTTTTATGTTTAAGGTTTTGAATGTGTCGTCGTTGCATTTCCATGAATTCTAGGAAAATTTATATTCAAGTTTTTGTTTGTGCATTTGAATTATGTGATTTCTTAGATCTAAACTTATTACCATTGTACTATTGATTTCCTTATAAGATTTTTTAAAATTAATTTGTTGAGGATCTTTTAGTTCTCATTTACTGGTCATTCCTTTGGATCTTTCCATAAGTGGTTGAATCAACATTACATAAATATTTTTCTTGCAAATTTCTATTCTTGTATTATTAAGTTTCATCAAGTTTTCTTTATAATCCTTCAGCATCAAGTTTATTTTCTCATCTCATGGGTGTATTTTCTATTTGTTTTGTTAAATGTCTATTGCCTAGGTCTATTCACCATCATCTTATCCTTGGTAGCCATGACGCCCATACATGTCAATAGTGCAAAATAATGACTCAGTCGTTGACTATAATCATCTTGCAGCATAAAGGGTTTAACTAGCTCGTGCTTTTTGTGCTATGTCTGGGCACTACGTAGGGTTTGTTTGGGGCAGCTGCAACCTATTGAATAATCCGTTGATAAGCTGATTAAAAATAATCCGCTGATAAGATAAGTGTGGTGGTTATTGCAAATTTTTACGGTGTGAAAACGTTGTTTACCCAAACAGGCCTGATGCATTTTCAAAACGCCACCGCATCAAATAAACTGCCCCAAACGGGCCCTGAATGAGACATTGTTTTTATAGAGTGCTATTTAATTTAGATGATTTAGATTTTGAAATTTGTATATATACTTATTATATAGTTTTAAAGTTTATGATGCCTTATCCCATCTTGCTCAGCTTCGTATTGTGTATTGATTATTTACCTGATGAAACTTTATATTTAATAATTTTAATATTATTTAATTGCAATTTTATAGCAAAAGAAGATGCAAGATAGATCATGATCATTTCAGTGATTTAGTTCATGTGAAATATAATAGGATCTTGATTCGAAAATACAGCTATAGTGATATTATCGGCCTTATTTCTTCAACTGATACTGGTGATGCTAATTAATATTTAATAGACAAAAATAAATGATGAGTTGAATAAAGGTAATGAATTGATTTTTGCTGAAGAATATTTTTCATGGAGTACTATAACAAGATTCTTTGATGTTTAATAAAACAAGCTACAATATTTTAGAGCAATTTAAAGACAAAGCAAACAAAACTTCAGATTTAATATTGTTGCGATTGAATACGAAGATGGTGAGACTGATAATGAAAATATAATTTAGGAGATAATGATGATGATGAAGGAAGAAAATTAAACTTTTTTTATTTGTGATGATGATGATGAGGAGGAGGATTTTGAAGATGATTAGTTTCATTTATTTTTAAAAAAAATACTATAATTACATAAAATTTATAATATTTTCAATTTTAAGCAATTGGGGTGATGATCAATTGAGTTTAAGTTCACTTTGGTTGTTTTTATCATCTTTAAGATTTATCTTTCAATCTACTAGTTTCATGTTAGCAGTATTTTTATTCACCCATGTTAAAAAAAAACATGTGCCATGCCGTATCTATGGCTTCATAAGAATCTTTATGTTATAGCGTATTAGTTGCCATTGGCAAGTATTTATATACCTGGCTTTTCCTTAAAATAGTCATTTTTAAGCTATTTTTACTGAATTTTTTTGCTTACCCAGATTGCATTCTCATTGTTGTTAGCTAACTTCAAAATCAATGGCTTTTTTACAACTCAAAAGTCATATTTATAAAATATATTTAATTGTATAATATTAATGCTATAGTATTCTCTTGTCAAATAATATTGTTGGCACGTTCTAACTTCATTTAAATCATTAAATTTATTTTTTAAAAATCCACATTTGTTCTTCTTCTTTATAAAATAATGCATACTATTAAAACCTATCACACACCATTTTATGTTTTTATACTATTGTGTGGTATATCTCACCCATTGAAATTGTAGATTATGCAATTAGTTTTTATTTTTTCTAATCTTAAAACCTTTTTATCTTTTAAACATTTCTTCTACTGTTTCATCTTTCCAATCATTATGATAATATTTTCAACTGATCTGAACTATGCCATATATGAAAATCACTCTTCAATATGCTTTGCTTTGATTATATCTTATTTTTTTTACAAACATCTTTATTAACTATGCCATATATGAAATTAATACATCAATATGTTTCATTTTGACTATATTTAGGGATACTTACATACATAGCACCCGTAACATTGTTACCTACAAAATCTAATATCGATGTGATATTTTTGAACTACCAAACTGATATATTTGCACGTGCCACAATCAAATCATTGTTAATTTCATAAAAATGAAAATTATGGGTTGGAGATTTATCATGAATTTTGAGATTTGAGTGAGAATTTGAAAAGCGGATGAAAGAGGGTGGTGCTAGATTTGTAAATAGCAATGTTTCGGGCGCTATGTATGTAAACATCACTGTATTTTGTTGTTTTGTAAGCCTTTCTATTACCAATAGGAAGGGTACAAACCTAGTTTGAACATTTTGATGTAATCTATAATAATTGGGAGTTCTTTGGTCACTGCATAGCTACCTTTTATACTAGAATGCTATATCATTTCATCTTCAATAACTTAAATATTCATTTCACACACTTTTTTTTTTATGTTCTTAAGGCCGATATAATTAAATGAAGATCCTTGATTTGCTCTTTATTTCCTTTTTTTTTCTTTTTATATGTCTAGTTCTAAATCAATTTGATTTTCCAATAGCTTTTTCATTGGCTTAATCTTATCAGCGTTCTAGCTGAATTTTGTTTTAGTTCGATACTTGGTAAAATTTATCTAATTCACTTCATTTTTGATCTCCTATAGTCACAAGCCTACATATACAGTTGGTGAAATGTTGAATATGATTAGTTTTTCTGTGATGTTTAATTTTGCAATTTGCACATTTTCTTACAGTCTGAAAATCTTTGAATTTGCATGCTATCTTTTACTGAAAAGCAAAACCATTTATTCTGAATTTCAGCAATGCCTTCTCAGAAGGTAGAAACGGGACACCAAGATGTGGTACATGATGTCTCCATGGACTACTATGGCAAACGCATGGCCACAGCCTCCTCCGACACCACCATCAAGATCATCGGCATCAGCGGCTCTTCACACCAACACCTCGCAACGTTAAGCGGCCACCAGGGACCAGTCTGGCAAGTTTCTTGGGCTCACCCCAAGTTCGGGTCCATGCTCGCCTCTTGCAGCTACGACGGCCGCGTCATCATATGGAAGGAAGGCAGCAAACCTGATGAGTGGACTCAAGCTCACATTTTCACCGAGCACAAATCCTCTGTGAACTCTGTTGCTTGGGCACCTCACGAGCTCGGTCTGTGCCTCGCATGCGGTTCGTCCGATGGCAACATTTCGGTCTTCACGGCTCGAACGGATGGAGGTTGGGATACTGCTAGGATCGATCAAGCTCATCCGGTTGGCGTCACGTCGATCTCATGGGCTCCGACGTTGGCTCCCGGGGCGTTAGTTGGTTCGGCACCGCTCGATCCGGTTCAGAAACTCGCTTCGGGGGGATGCGACAATACAGTGAAGGTTTGGAAGCTTTATAATGGAAATTGGAAGATGGATTGTTTCCCGGCGCTTCAGATGCATGCGGACTGGGTGAGGGATGTGGCTTGGGCTCCGAATCTCGGGCTTCCGAAGTCGACGATCGCCAGTGCTTCTCAGGATGGGACGGTGGTGATATGGACGGTGGGGAAGGAAGGAGATCAATGGCAGGGGAGAGTTTTGTGGGACTTTAAGACGCCTGTTTGGAGGGTGAGTTGGTCGCTGACTGGGAATATACTGGCTGTGGCTGATGGTAATAATAGTGTGACTTTGTGGAAGGAAGCCGTGGATGGGGAGTGGCAGCAGGTGACGACCGTTGAGCCTTGAGGGATTTGAATTTTAGCTGTTCTGTCTTCTTTTGTCATGAGAAATCTCTGCTTTAAAGTTGTTGGAGAGCATAAATTTTAAAATTTGATTATGTTGTTTTTCGATTTTATGTGTGTTTTATACTGCGCTTCCCGTTTCTATTTCTGGACTGCAATTGTCTAATTAATGGTGGATTTTTTAATGGGGAAAACTATGGAATGTTATTTTTTTCTTTTCTTTTAGAAGAAGTCTGATAATATCATTGTCGTAGTTATCATCTTATGGTAAGTTTGATTGTGAAAAGTTTTTGTTTCACTGCATAAACTAAAGAATTATATATAATAAGCTGTCATTTTTTTTTTTTTTAACAATGTGGAGGATACTGTTTTTGTTATGGAATGATTTATGACATTTAGCCATTTGATTTAAGGAGGAAGATCAATCGAGTTAGGAGGAGGATGAAAAAAGATTGATCCAGGTTCAGGTCAATCAGACCGGAACGGACAGATCATCACCCAAGTAGTTATATGTACGAAAGTTACTGAGTTGCTGAAATTGTTTCTTGATCATCAGCATTAGCATCACCTATTTCAAAATGTTTATTTGTTCGTGTATGTGTAAGAATCAGTGATTTCTTTCATTTGAAGTGATTTTTTTCATAACATTATTAATTTCTTGAATTAAATGTGAATTGATTTTGGCTGGGCCATTCATGTCAACAAACATCTAATGTTACATGCCATGTTATTGCACATTTGCATTGTGCGATATGGGGGGGCTAAGGCCTCTCTCTCTCTCTCGGTCTCCACTCTCCACCTGCCATTCTTGTCCAAGTGCTTCCGTGTGTGACTTGCTAAGCCTGTCACTGTAGTGTTGACGCATGCTTACATCTCAAATGATGCTAATGTGAGTTTAGGGTTTAGGAATCTGCAATCAACTTGCTTCATACCCTCTTTGATGGCCTTCAATTGGTTGGTAAGGTCTTTTGGGGTTTTGAAAATTTATTGAAGCAGCCTTTCTTTCTTCTGTTTTATTCACATTAATATGTATATTTGCTTTATTTATTGAAGCAGCCTTGATTGATTATTTTTTCTTTTCAGTATATTTGCTTTATTTTTATCTTTATATAATAGAATATTAACATTTCATATATAAAAATTCACCAAATGATGAAGCAAGGTGGTATTTTAAAGAATATATCCCTTACAAACTATCATGAAGTTGAGTTCCTTGAACATCATGATTATCAATAGCTTATTCTAGCCATTTGGAGTGGACTTCATGAATCCTGTGTATGAAAATGTTTTTTTAATGGTTCTTAGTTATTACTAACAAATATTATTTCATTGTTATCATTAATAAAAGTTTCTATAATAATTTAGTATATTCATGTTCATATTGGCTAGAAGTAAAAGAATTTTGTATCGTGCCCAAAAAGGAAAATATATGAAGATCTACATATATACAACTCGATCTTTATAACTCGGTCAAAACTATGTAGTGCCATTTTCTTAATTTAGAGAGAAGTGTGGAGATACTTACATATAGTTAGGCAACAATTATCATTAAAAAGTTGTTGGATGGCAAGGACCACTACTGGTAGTCGTCGTGAATTTGGCATTTAGCTTCATCCTCCTTGATATGCCATCAATAAAATTCTATCATCTGACATTAATCTCGAGGTATGACACGGATATCGAGTCTACTTTTTGAGCATGAAATATTCAAACCTAGATAAAAAGTAATCTAGAACTCTAATTTCAGTAAATTTATATTCAAACTGACCGACTTGATAAGACGAACTCAATGTTACTAAAATTTGTCCAATCAAATCCAATCCAAACCAAACAAAGCCCAAATCAAGCTATTAAAGTGCTTTTGGAAGTTTTTTAGACACATTTAGGTGTGCTGATAACCTCAACATTAAGTGATCTTAAGCTCATTTGACTTCTCTCATCAATGCACTCAATTTGACTACAAGAATACAAATGTGAAGATTAATTAATATTTCATTTAATTCTTCAAACCTTTGAATTATAACACAAATGCTTGAATTATGCTCGTTAAAATCAAATTGAATCACATTCTATGTCGTTGGGCTCGTATTGTCAAGATATTCAATTCAACTACAAAATTGCTAAAAATGAGCTTAAATTTGACTATAGAATCTTTTTGCCCAATATGCTTTGAGATTCGTGCCTTATATCAAGTGGATTTGTGGAGACAACAATCCTAAAATTATTGGGTTCACTTGAAGGCGTTTGCAACACAAATTTTAATTAATTACTTATGTATCATATTATATAAGTTAACTTCAAGGGCAATGATATTTTGATTAGACTTTGTCACTTCATATATTTTCATTTATAAGTATCCTTTATTTAGATTGTGTATGTAATTTTTCATTTTCCTTAAATTCCATAAATATTTGATTTTGAATTTGTACTCTTGAACAAAAACTTAAATCCTTAGAAACTTAGTTATATGACCCATAATTTTTCACAATTTAAATTTCAATTTGTAAATATATTTAAATGATATCTACATATTTATTAATATTTGTAAAATATTATTTGACATAAATTCCCATTCGTTGTTTAGATGACTAGATTGTCTAAAGAACTCGTTGAACTCAATAGACCCAGCAAAGCCAACTCCAGTCGACCCGACCACCAGCTCCAATCAACCCGACCACTAGCTCCAGCAGCCTGGCCTAACTCTGTTTGGTTGGCCATCTAGGGCAGCTCCATTTCGCCTGACTAGTTTTGTTCAACCTAGCCAGCTCTACTCAGGCCGACTAGCTTCAAACGGCTCGATCAGCTCCCTTTGGCTAGACCAACTACGTTTGACCCTACAAACTCTGTTTGGCTTGACCATCTTTGTTCGACTCGATTAGCTCCGTTTCACTTGGTCAACTTGGTTCAACCTAACTAGCTCTGTTATGCCTGATATGCTCGAGTCATCTCGACCATTTGCTCTAGTCAGCCATCTATGGCCAGGGCCATAATTTTGTCATTTATAATAATCACTCTGCTATAAATAAAAGAACACTATTTATGGTTGAAGTGTGGAAAACATTTGATAGACACTATTAATTCATGTACTTTACTGTCTCCCTCTTTCTATCTCTTCTTATTTAATGCCCTATTCCTTCGACAAGGTACAATAAGCGTGGATCATGCCACAAATAAGAAGATGAGCAATACAAGAGAAAGAACTGAGCTACACATAAATAACTAATAATACATAATGGAAAAGAGAACTTGCCTGGGAGAATAAGTAAACTCATCCAATTAGCCTAGCTAGGCCAGCTCCATTCGGCCCGGCTAGGAATGCTCTATTAGGTTTGGCCACCAGCTCCAGTTGGTTCGACCAGCCTAGTTGGACTGACTAACTTCGTTTAGCCCAGGTAGCTCCGTTCGACCTGGACAACTTCAGGTAGTCCAACATGCAAGCTCAATTCGGCCCGACCAACTCCATTTGGTCCGAACACCATCTCCATTGGGCCTGACCACCTGCTCTGTTCAGCCCAACCAGCTCTAGTTGGCTCGACAAGCTCCCTTCGGCCTGCTTGCCATCTTCATTCTACTTAGCAAGCTCCAGTCATTCAAAAAAGTTTCTCTCTTATGAAAATTCTCCCAAAATAATTTGTCTAAGGGAAGATAAGTCACAAAGGAGTGAAATTGATAAACAAGAAATAGCTCTACAGGGAAAATCTCTCAGGACCCTCTTCCTTTTTTTTGTTTTATTGCATTTATATTGTCTCTTAATTCCTCAATTCACCCATGAGGAACTTGTCTCTCAAGAGCAAAAAATAAAAAGAAATGACCTATATTATTGGACCCCTGATTAGTTAAAAAGTCCAATGTTGTGGATGACTTTGGAGATGCACTTTCTAAAAAATAACTCAACCAAATAAAGAATGAATTAAGTTAACTGATGGTAAAAGAAGACGAGATTTCAACATAGATAAGGAAAATTTTTTTTGATGAATACTCCTTGTAGGAGAGTTACAGCCAACAGATTATCCTTAAAGCACTCGACTTTTATATAATCATCATACTAAAAGGAAGTACTCAGTCTAACCACACAAAAAGAGGAAACTCTTTTCATTGGTAGCACTTATAGAACTCTTATTATAATACCAAGTCAATTGAAACAGTGACGAATTGGTGATCTATGGAATTACTCTCTGAAGGTGAGATAAAATGGCCCTAGGATGAAATTCTATAGGAGAGAGCTATGAGCCCCAGTAGATGAACAGTGATACCCCACTCATTGTTGATTAAAACAAAACTTTAACTTGTTTTTAGGGAAAGTAATGTTGTCTTATAGAGAGGAATGATTTTAGTTTCATATTCATCATCCGTTTATTGATAAGAGAATTACATAAATTCTTATTCATAGTTTAAGAAGTTAAGCTCGTCTAAGGAAAATGCTCAATTCGACCCTCTCCAATCCTTCAGTTGGCTTGGCCAGGCTAGCTCCTTTCGACTCTGCCGCTAGCTCCATTATACATGGCCACCAACTAGGGCTGTGAATTTATCTCGAAGATCTTTGATCACTCGAAAATTAATATAAATTTTGACTTGAATCAAGATTGGATCAAAATAAAGAAGTTGAGCTATGAGTTTTTAGCCAATTTTGAGTCGTATATTGATCAGCTCAAACTGGCTTGATACCTGCATGTAGCATTTTTTACTATAATAATAATAATAATAATAGTAATGCTAATTAAAATTGGTTATAATGAGGCATGAGCCAGTTTCAAGCTAGAGCGGAGACAAATAACTCAATATGAGTCAAACTTGTTTCCATTTGGAGTAGGACTGAACCATATTTTAGCTCGAACTGATCTACATAACTCAATTTAAGCCAGCTTGTTTTGATTTCGAGTTAAACTGAGCTCGCATCAATTTTGAGCTGAGCTGGCTCGAAATCAAATATAACAAGCCATGAGCTAATTTTGAGCCGACCTTAGCTCCGCTTGAAATCAGATTGTTAACTGCCCTACCACCAGCTGTAGCCGGCCTAGCTCGGTTAGTTTGGCCAGTTCGCTCTCAATCAATTTTGAGTCAAGTTGGCTCAAAATCAAATATAGCGAGCCACAAGCCAATTTTGAGCCGCACTCAATACATTTGAGCTAACCCTAGCTCATCTTCAAATTGGATTATTAATAGCCCCACCACCAGCTCTAGTTGGCCCAACTGGGTCTATTCGACCGATTAGTTCCGTTTGACCGACTAGCTCCGTTCGACCCGACCAGCTCTGTTCAGCTGAGCTGCTCCATTGAGCCAGACCGGTTCATTTCGACCCAACCCACCGTTTCAGCCCGACCCGCTCCATTCGGCTCAACCACCAACTTCATTCAACTCGACCACACGCTCCAATCTACTCGGCCATCTCTTCTCAACTGCATAGGACTAGAGTTATTATTGTTATTTTATAATAATCATTTTCCTATAAATTGAAGAATGCTATTTGTAATTGAGATGTAGAAAAAATCTTAGAGACACTATTCATCATTATTTGTTACTCTCTCTATATCTCTTCTTATTTTACACACTATTCGGGTTGTTATATACTTATAAGTACATAACTAAACAAATATATTATTATTTAAATTACATCAGCAAATGAATGCTTGTATAAATTAAATATTTACAGATAAAAAATATTTCTATTTATATATATTAATAAACTAATATTAATTCATTTTTAAAATAAGTATAATCAAATAAAGTTTTTTGTTTTATTTTATTCTGAAAAATCACTTTCAGACAAATATATTATGCTCTTTACTATTACGTATCCGAACTGAACAATTATTAGTGGTGCAGAGCATGCCCGAGATGGGGAGTTCGATCCACTGTGCTTAAAAATGGGGGAGAAGAGGGTGTGCGTGGTAGGCGCCGGAATCAGCGGCCTGGTTACCTGTAAATACCTTCTCAACAAGGGTTTCCATCCGGTGATCTTCGAGGCCGACGACTCCATCGGAGGCGTTTGGGCCAAGAACACCCTTGATTCAACTCGTCTCCAATCGCCAACATCAGCTTACTGCTTCTCCGACTTCCCCTGGCCTGAGACGGTCAACGGAATGCCCCATCACACGGAGGTTATGAGGTACATTGGAGATTACGCCCGCCAGTTTGATCTTCTCCGGTATGTGAGGCTCAGGGAGAAGGTGGTGGGATTGGACTATGTCGGCGTAGCGGAGGAGGAGATGGTAGGATGGAAGCAGTGGGGTGGGATCGGACAAGCCTTTGCCGGTGCCAGCGGTGGTCCGGGAGTTTGGCGTGTCACCGTGCAGCGAGCTGAGGATGGTTCAGTCGAGGTTTGTAATATCTCTAGGGTTTACAAGCACTTAATTAGGTTTTTTATGTAAGAAATCGTGTTTAGAGGCCCTTAAGTAAGTGATTAGTGTATATGATCATGATTAATCATAAAATTTTTTGATGAGATGCTCTTCTTATGGTTGAGCGCCAATTTTTTTTTTGGCTGCTGATTAAAAAAAAAAAAAAATTTTAAATCTGATTAAAGTTGTTTACTGTAAGATGGTGCATGGAAAAGTGCTTGTTTTTTATTATTTTTTTTGTTGATTTAATGTTGATTTTCTGACTTAGTAAAACATTATTTAGATATTAAAAAAATGAGCTATCTCAATTTATAAATTCTCTATCAATACATGATGCATGGAAATGTTTAAACTTAAAATTCATAACTTTAATCTTGTAATTTAGGGTTAGCTGGGGATGGATTCACTTTTATATTAAATTAGTTATGAAGTTGTTGTGGGCAAAGTAAGGTTTTTGAAATTTGTTGTGAGAATTATAGACTTCATTTCACCAGCTTCACTGCTTCAGCTACCAGCAGTAAATATTTCTTGCTGTCTATATTTCTATTGTGCTTGCCTCTTTATGTTTGATTATAGCTCTTTACTTAACATCACTTCTTTACATTATCATTTCAAACTTTGCAATTTACCAACAATCAATATTTTTCACTTTGTGTGTGTTCAAATTTGACTATAAACAATTAGTCAAGCCTTTTCCTGTCAAAAGAGAACTTGATCAATTGATATGTTTACTTTGTGCTCCCTATCTGTAAATATGTGAATTATACATATCAACAAATAGTTTAAGTTTTGATAAAATCATATGGCAGGTTCATATGATGGACTTTGTGGTGCTCTGCTTGGGTAGATTCTGTGATCTTCCAAATATTCCTAGTTTCCCAAATAACCAAGGCCCAGAGGTCTTTGATGGCATGGTTATCCACTCCATGGACATAGCAAGAATGGGTCGTGCAGCAGCCACTGAGCTCGTAGAAGGAAAGCGTGTTGTTATCATTGGTTGCCTTAAATCCGCACTTGATGTTGCCGCTGAATGTTCTGATATCAATGGTATGTCTCCTCCATCTCATCCTCTGTTGTCATCTTTGTCACCATCATCATCATCAGTAACCTTAGGGTTCTACATTTGTTCAAATCAGGCTACCAAAGGGATCCGACATAGCGAGCATCGGGCTTGTATTTGTGTCAGTACATACCACCCAATTCCTATGTATTTACATATCTAACACGTAATCCTTACTTTCTGCATTTATACCACCAATATCTTTCACATCACATAAAAAATACCACTATTTTGACTTTTAAAAAGTGGGATACATCTTTTTTGTGCATAGGTAAGGTGACATATATGTAAATATTGAAGATTAGGTGTTAGATATGCAAATAGGTAGGAATTGAGCGGTATGTGTAAATTTTCCTTAAATAAGATAATATTGTAATTGAAATAGTTTGACTTATGGTGCGTTTGGGGCGGCGGTACGGAACTACATCACACTTTTTTCTATTTGACAAAATTGTGTTTTGTCTGCGTTCTCAAAAAGCTGTAGCTAAAAACTGTATTTTTCCACCAGCCTGGCTACCTGCGATGGTTGCTACAAAGTTACGGTCTGACTTTTTCAGAAAAAAAGTTCTTTTGTAATAGCCACAACAAGTTTTTGAACAACAGTTTTTTCTTTAGTAGGTTCACAATTACTTCTTTAAAAAGCTATAGCTCCCCCAAACAGACTCTTAAAGTGTGTTTGAGGCGGCTGCTACTCTTTGAAATAGAATATCAACAACTTACTATTGACATAAATTAGCACTCTAAACATATTAAGTATAAAAAAATATGCCACTCCTTTTCTCACAGAAAATGCGAACAAAAATTACACGTGACAAATTCTCTATGAACAGCATCACCGCCCAAATTCAGAACAAGACTCAAGCAATCCCAAAACAAATTACCAAAACATGAATTCTACTTACATAATAGGATTGCACACCATATAACCCCCAAAATCATAGCCATCCTGCAAATAGAACCAAATTCAGAGCAACCCCAACCACGACAACCGACCCCAAGCACATGACAAAAAAATATGCATACAGAGCACACATTTCTTCTGAACTGACATGCCGAGAACACAATTCTTATAAATTTGCAAAGCTTACACCTAAACTTTTAATATTACATGCACCTCAACCCATATCCACAATAAGCCCAAAAAATAAAGAAAAAAAAATCTATCCGTAGATTCTAATGAGATAGCATGGAATCAAAACCCAAAATAGCATCGAATGCACACCTTAAACCGATAATCAAATAAGTTCTTTCACAAAAGACTGGATTTCAAAAATTCGGATAATAGAGAAGAAAACCGAAAACAAAGCACCGAAAAGTTCCTTCGTGTACCCAAAAAAAGGATTAAAGAGATACATACATTCTATTCAAAGGTAGGAATACATAAGAGAAAATCTGCTCAACTGGCATGCCACAGAATCCCTAACACGCGATGCTTGTAGAGAAGACGGAAGAAGGTGCAAAGAAGGAAGTGTATTATCGCAGATAAACCAGGAAAATATTAGAAATGTAAAGGGGCAGTGCTGTAGTTAACCACTCCTGCTCTGATCCTTTTCACGGAACGCAGCTCAACCCCGCCTTTCGCTTTTATAAGGTTTTGGGAACAGGATTTTAAGCGGTTAAAAAGTGGGCTGCCAAGCACTATCTCAACTGCTTTACAAAACAGAAAGTGAGAGAAAAGCTGTCCTAAATGCACCCTTAATTGTATTTACATATAGATAATTCGTAAATTAAAACATAAGTACTCTTTGTATACTAGTTATTAACTGTTTTATTTACTTTACCCAAACACGAACAATTTGTTATGAGTTTTATGGAAGACAAAACAAATATTTATATATTTTAATTAAATATAATAGAAATAAGATCACCTCGATTTGAAAAGTTGCAATACACTGATATTAGTTTTATCATATCTAAAGAAAAATTATGCAAATGAAGAGAAAATAATAAGTGAGAATAAAATGCATAAGCGTAGTATCCTGACGTATTGAAAGTTTAGATGTCAGTCTAATAAACTGGTGATTAATTTATTCACATATATTATTTTAAATAACTTAATATATTGAATAAAATATACTTAATCTCTCAATTAATCTTTTTGTGGTCATGTAGCACGCATACCGTTGAATGATTTTATTTGCATATTACTAAGAAAGTGGATTGTTTGGCTTTGTTTGGCTTCCAAGAACTCTATCATAAGCTGAAATATATAATATTTCCTCATTTTCATTAAGTCTATTCTTAATGATATGACTTTTTTTTTTCTTATTTTTCTTACATTTATACAATAAAAATTTAAATGTTGCTGAAAATGTTAGATGAAGTTTCATAGACTTTTAATTTTGACATTTTTAGAATTTTTAATTCCTTCAGCTATTGATTTCTCTTAAAGTTCTGGTTCTAATATTTAACTTTTGAATGTAATATAAATTAAATTTATTTAAATATTTAATATAATGTCACATGCATTCAATTATTTAAAAAAATTGTGTTTGATCAATTAGTGACATATATAATCCGAGCATACATAAATTAAGTCATTTTACCTTATATTTATGAGAAATTCAAAACATTTTGATCTTCTTGGATAGTTTTACTCATATCTACAAGAACAACTAGAAAGTCGCAGGATTATTTTTTTTTTCTGAACTAATTTGTTATTTAGACCAATATTTATTTTATTAATTACAAAGTTAATATGACATTAATTTTTTATAAATTTTATGCTTCTAGGAACAGAACACCCATGTACTATGCTCTTTCGGACAAAGAGGTGGATCATACCTGACTTTACTGCTTGGGGCTTTTCCACTAGTTACTTCTATGAGAATCGCTTCTCCGAGTTGCTTCTTCACAAGCCAAATGAAGGAATCATGCTATACCTTTTGGCCATTTTTCTATCTCCACTGGTAAAATGAACGAGTCATACAACAAAAAGTACTAGACATAATCATCTTATATGATCTTTTTCTAAAATCTCGCATAACAGTAGTCATGATGGCTTCTTAAAATCCCTATATACTATTGGATTTTGAGTTTTAGATTTATAGTTGTCGTTTGTCATGAGTAAATATTGATCAATGATTTTTTGTCATATTTCAATGGATGCCCAATCAGACGAATGAAACAAAAGGGAAAAATATGAGAGTTTTTACATCGAAAACCCAATGATGAAAAATCACAAGACATTTTCCCATTGAACAACTCTCACTACCATAGAATGAAATACAAGGCTTCACTATTCCTTAATAAATTGGAGAGTTCATCAACTAAGTTTCATGGACTTAGTTATTAAAACCAAGATTGTGAAAACCGTACCGGACATCAAACCAAAATAAGGAAATATTCAATGTTCATTGGTTCGACCGTGGTCGAACAATGGGTTGAATCGGATGATATAGTAAATGAAAATATTAATTAAAAATAAAACTGCTGACCTACTTTTTATATCTATGCATGAAAAAGTGTATTTCACTGAAAAAAATAAAAATAATGTTATTTTTTATGTGATATTAAAGATTTGAGTGTTATGTATGTAAATGGGAATGTTTTGGCCTGTGTATGAAATTTCTAAAAAACAAAAAAGAAAATTACAACCAAATAAAAATGAGAAATCAGACGTAAATTAGCTCATAGGCAAATGAGTTTTCTTTGGAGGGTGAAGTATTAATCATGTACTTATATTGAACATGGAGTTCAAGTCGCCATCATCATTTGGTATATCCATACACATATCATTGAACACCTAAAATTAAACCAAGACAAATTTAGAGTTCAGATAAATAAATGTATAAGAATTCAATGACATGTATGAAAAACTCATTTTTTTTATTTTCTGATAGTTCTTTTTTGTAAAAAATATGATTCTCCCCATGAAAATTCTAAAAATAAAAAAAGAAAATTACAATCAAACAAAAATGAGAAAGCATATGCAAACTAGCTAGTAAAAAAATGAGTTTTCTTTGGAGGGTGAAGTCTTACTCATGTACTTATACATAGTATGGAGTTTAGGCCACCATCATCCTTTGGTATATCAATATATGGATCAATAGGTAACTTAAACCAATACAGATTTCACCTTCCACTAAATTGCAAGAATCTATACATTTATGGTTACTTGAAGATATAGAAAAGTGGGGAATTAAAAGCTCTGATTCCTCTTTGTTCCATAAAAAAGCATATCTACGAACCAATTCTCTACTAGTGACTAAAAGAAGTAGCAATTACCTTAAAAGGCAAGGACCATCCAAGCTATTCCAACACCATTGCTTGAGAAGAGTGTAGATCTTTGAATCACCACAAAAACTCAAGCAACATCATATGCCTTTGGTTGGTGCACGGACAACGAGCGAGCAACGATCAAAATTGTTGGCGAACTGACAGTGAGCAACCAATGATCGAACAACGAAAGGAGCGATTGCTGAAGCCTGAATAGGTTTTTCTAGTTACGAAGTTCACTGTTTTTACCACGAATGTAAATTGCAGCCACTAGATGGTAGAAATTCTGACCCGCACAGTCCTTAGAAACCAGGCATGGTTCTCCGATTTTTTGGCCAAACTGGAGTTTCAATCTAGGTCATGTAAGTTCAATGCGAGATAAGTTCTTTGGCTAGACCGAGCCAGACATAACCTGTTCACGATTGAACCAATCAGACCAGCTAGTCCAATTAACTTTTCAAAACCATAATTAAAACTGTTACTCAGTTGTTCATGGTCGCCATGTCAAGTTATATTTGGTGTTGCTAATGGTAGCTTCTGGTTGACTTAAGGATTGTTTGATAATTTTTTTTTTGGATTTTTTATTTTTTTATTTCATATTTATATTTTATGTTTTGATTTGAAATAAAATATATTTGGCATCTTAAGAAAAAAGCAACCTTTTTTTAAATGCTCAAAATAATTAAACTTTATTTTTTAGTGTTTTTAAAATTAAGTTGAATTGTTTTTAAAAATAATATATAAAAACATGTTAAAATACAATAAAAGCATATTGTTAAAAAAAATGTTTCAAATAAGCTCTTAGAGAGCAAGGATTATGTAACGTCCCCCTTTTTTTATTAACCGAGAGAGGAATTGAAAGTGTCAAACAGACTAGGATAAGAAGCGATGAGTCAGATAGTTGTACAGGGGGAGCAGAATCGATGAGGGAGGAGAGAAAATGAAGATTTGAATAGGACTTCACATGCAGAGTTGCTTGCGAAGTCTAATCTCATGTTGACAAATGGAAGACCGACTCACTTACATAAAAAAATGAAAAAAAAAGTGAAAACGCGCGACCCGGCCCTACCGATGCGTTACAGAGCCTAAGCAAATATTTTTTGCATTATTTATTCTTGTCGCCATGTTATAAAAATATTCTCTCGTGTTATTCTGAATAACACATCAATAACATGTGAATAACATATCAATAAAACATTAAATAACGCATGAAATAACGCAAAAAATATTCAAAATAACGCGAGAGAATATTCCTATAACACAGGATATTTATTAATAACACTTTAAATAACTATAATTTATTAATAAATATAAATTATGACATCTAAATAAATTATTTTTGTTCTATAACAAACTATTAACATATAATAACACACATAATAACATAATTATACACTATCTAGCCCGTGGTATAACACGTGGGGAATATTCTCTGCGTGTTATACCGCGAGTTATAATGCTGCCCTACGTGTTATACAGTTGCCTTATAACACTCCCCTAGCCCGCGGTATAACACGCATGGAATATTCCCCACGTGTTCTACCGCGGGCTAGAAAATGTATAACTGTGTTATTATGTGTTATTAGTGTGTTATTCTGTGTTATTGAGTGAGGGAATATTCCTATATCCTCAATAACGCATCAATAACACATGAATAACGTGGAAAATATTTAAAATAACGCGGGAGAATATTTTTATGCGATAGAATATTTCTATAATGCATCGGTCGAGCCGGTTCGTACGTATTCATTATTTTTTTATTTTTTTTATGTAAATAGGTCGGCCTTCCACGTGTCAGCGCAATATTGGACTCCGCAAACTGCTCTGCATGTGGAGTCTTGATGTAATAATTTTTCTTCGAATAGGGGGGGATAAGTCGAGGAATTAGAAAAATTGAAGGTTACTTTAAGATGTTCGGTGCGAAGGAGGAGAGCAGTGGAAGAGAGCCCGTACCCTAGCCTACCAGCTAAGAAGTGGAGAGGAAGAAACATCATCGAGGAGGAAGCGTTCAGTTTGTGCGTTTGTGTGGGATAGAGAGCTGAAGCTAGGCTTTCGATCCATAACTCTCGTGAACAGGAAGAAGCACCCTAGTGCACAGTGGACAAAGTTGCGGTCTCTTGTGCACAACTTAGGGCCGACCAAACTCTCACAAAAGTAAAATCTAATATATATATATATATATTATTATATAAGACTTGAAAAGGAATAAAAGGTGGCAAAATGTGTGAGCTAGAGGAAGATCGATCTGAACAAACTTCGGTAAGAAAAAATTAAGTTTGTATTATATATATGTATATGTAACGACATCATTTTAATCAAGCTAATGTTCCAGTTTGTTGGTACATGCCACATTTTTATTCGTGTGAGACTATTTAAGTGTGATATAAATTCCTTGATGTTACATTAACTCATTGTGAGCTTAGGTCCAACCATTATATTTAATTCTTTGCAAATTATTGTGAAAATGGATAGCTACTTTGAGCATGAAACGCTTTATTATTAGATGAATTCTAGTTTTTATATATTTTTTTCATTAATCTTTTTAAGAAGAGGACTAGAATGTGGATGTATTTCCCTCTAATTTTGATTTTTCTTTAATTATGTCCATTATAGGTGTGCATTTATTAACTTGTTGTTTAAGAGCATTTTTATGATGAATGTCGAAATCTAGTCATGATTGGCATTAATTGTATCTGTCATGCTTTGGTTGTCGAGTGCTTGACTTCAAAATAACCCCATGATTATGATAATTTGATTACCAAACCCATCATTCGGGTGAGTTTTTAAATGCTTATCTTTTTGTTTAAGAGATTGATTTTAAAGGTGAGCCCCTTTGATTATTAAACTCATCATCTAGATAAGAATATGGTTCAAAATATTTTTCTTGTAACTGGGAGCTTGATTTTGTTATTTCCTCTTTTAAGTTATGATTTTGTTCCAATTTAATCAATCATCAAAGTATGAATATCAGACTAGTTGAGACTCTATTGGAATGATGTCTTCAATCCAATTATTAACTCCGTATATCATGTAAAAGTTTTTTTTTTTTTTTTTTTTTTTTGCTTTGCATTATTAAGGCTTGCCAAAGTTGTGAAGACTTGGAACATCAATCTAACTATCTGGCTTGTTTGGTGGGGTTTGCTCCATTGGTTCTCTCACATTAGTGAGGTATCAATGGCTCTGAAATCCCTATCATTTCTACTTCTCGACTATAGGCTTGTTAACTAACTAGTTTTTTTGCTCGAGTTACAATTAAAGGCATTACAAATTCAAGAATTTTTTTTCTTTGGTTAGTGAATTTTTTTAATCAATCAAAGAGATTGGTTCTCATTGGTTGAGTATGTCGAAGATTTGAAGTTTGTGTCAACGTAAAATGCTTTTTTTATTTTCTAATAACACTCTTTGGTATGGTTAAATTTTAATTGCTTCACTTGATTTATTATTAGAAGCATTGGTGACATAGGCTTCATTGAGACAATAACAACATTTTTTATCATAGTTTAAATTTTAATTGATTCTAACATATTATTTTGAAGCTTATAATGTTTTATAGCATTTCTATTGGGTCTATATATCCTCACTAAAATATATAAAGTGTCACGAAATGCATAGACAATAACAACAACAAGCCTTTATTCTACTAAGTGGGGTTGTCTACATGAATTCTTTTTCTCCATTGCATCTTATTGAGTGACATATTTTCATTTAATTCTAATAGATTAAATTCATTTTTTATACAATATGCCCAAGTTTTTTATGGTCTTACTCTACATTTTTTAACATAGTTGAATCTAAAGCATCTATTATCATAACGGGATCATCAAATGGTCGACGTTTAATATGACCAAACCATCTAAGACGACTCTCTATTCTTGTCCGCCACTGGAGCTACAACAGCCATATCACGAATACATTCATTTCTCATTTTGTCTCTAAGTGTCAAGCCACTTCTCTACCAAAGCATTCTCATCTCAATAACACTTAATTTTGTTTTATGCTTCCCTTTTAAAGGCCAACATTATGCGCCATAGAGCATGGTAGGTCTTGCTACCATTTTATAAAATTTTCCTTCTAGTCTAAGCGGAACTTTTCTATCACACAATAGACGATGCATTCCTCCACTTCAACCAACTTGAATTCTACTAATAACGTCCCCATCTATATCACCATCACTTTGAACAATAGACCTGGGATATCTAAAATGTTCACTCCTTTCATGATTTGATCACCCATTGTTATAAATTTTTCATTAGAGCTATTTTACTAAAATTATATTCCATGTATTCAGTCTTAGATCTACTCAAACGAAGGCCTTTTAACTCTAATATAGACCTACATAAGTCAATTTTTTCCCAAACTCTTTCTCTAGTCTTATCCACAACAAGGATATCATCACCAAAAAACATACACCAAAAAACATACACCAAGGTACCAAAAAACATACACCAAGGTACTATATTTGTTGGTAAGAGCATCCATAAGTAAAACAAAAAGAAATGGGCTTAAAGCCGATTTCTGATGGAATCCAACTTAAATAGGAAAATACTTGGTCAATTCTTTTTCAACAACTCTGGTATACATTTCTTTAAGGACTTGAATATAAATCATATCAACACTTTTCTTCTCTAGAACTGTTCAAAGAACTTATATTGGAAGCGTTTTCTAAATCAATAAAATTCATATGTAGATCCTCCTTGTTCTCTCTGTGTTTCTCCATTAAACTTTTCAATAAATGCATAGCTTCCATAGTGATTATGGGAAATTTTTGTATCACGTCTTAACCTACGGTCAATTACTCCCTCCAATACTTTTAAAGTGTGACACATCAACTTAAATTCTCTATAATTTGTACATTCTTGTACATCCCCTTTATTCTTATAAATGAGGACTAAAATACTCTTCCTCCATTCCTCAAGCGTCTTTATAAGTTTTAAAATTAATGTTAATGAGTTTAGTAAGCTAAGAAACTCCCAAATATATTAAATATTTCCACACTTCAATTGGGATATTATCAAGCCCTATTAATTTTCCACTCTTGGTTTTCCTTAAATTCTGCTCAACCTTTTTTTTACCAAGTGACAGTAAAATAAAATGTTCTATTACTATTAACGTTATTAAGATAAAAAATTATGCTTGAAAATATTAGACCATGTGAAAAAATTTTATTCATATATCAAAATGACCATAACAGTTGACTTAAAATATTTCAAAACTTAAGCACTGAAACTCTTAAAATATCCTAGTTCTAAGTTCTTATATATCCAACTAAATAAATACTAGAGTTTATGTGAGAGGAATAAAATTGAAAATTGAAATAAGTTAACAGTAACCATATTGAGCTTGATAATTTCTCGACCAGCATGACTGATATACTTCAGTTCATAAAATTATGCTTGAAAAAGCGTATTTCACTTTTAAAAAGTAAGTACTATTGATATTTTTGATGTGATGTTAAAGATTTGAGCACTATGCACGTAAATATTGAAGTTTTAGTGTTATACGAGTAAACACATAATAATTTTGTGATATGTTTGTAAATGCCCCAAAAAGAATTTACATTTTATTTTTTTAATATAAAAATGTCTCAATATTTGATAAAGACTTATGGTTGCGTATGTTTTGATGAAATTTAATTTGCTAGATTTTTTTCAATGCCTACCTATTAGAACATCTACAAGGAATTCATTATAAGAATTTCTCGAAGTTCTTACTTTTTTTATCTTATTTTAATTTCAAATGTCATTAGCTAATTTTTTTCGCCAACAACGAACACGTGTTTCTAATTCACATATGCGTCCCATTTTAGAGATGGATATTTTCCAAATTTGTCGAGGTTTACTACAAGAGAATCCTTCCCATGAAGAAGTATGGAATGGTACCAAATCACAGCTTCTTCCAGGCCATGACCACTTGTTTGGTAGCCATATTACCGGATAAATTCTATGACAAAGTAGAAGACGGAAGCATTGTGCTTAGACAATCAAAGAACTTTGTGTTCTGTAAGGAGGGAATCATGGTTGATGGCGACTCGATGCCGATTAAGGCCGATTTGGTTATCTTTTGCACAGGTTTCAAAGGTGATCAGAAGCTTATCAACATATTTGAATCCCCAATGTTTCAAAATCTTATGGCTGGTTGCCTGGACTCTACTGTCCCTCTTTACAGGTAAAAAAAATGCTTTATTATATTACAGAGGGTTTTAGTGATGATAAGATTAGGTCTTTTTCAATGTTATTTGGAAGTCATCGATTATTGATCTCAAGCCACCTCTCTATAAATACAACATAGGCTATGTTCTTGTATCCTTCTAAATTTACTTTTAATTTTTTGGGCATTTATTTACATAGCACACAATTCTTATGTATTTATGTGCCTCACGCCTAACTTTCATATTTACACACATAGCACTCACATCTTTAATATCACATAAAAATAACACTATTACTATTTTTTAAAAGTGAAATCCACCTTTTCTTGTATAGGTTTAAAGCACCAAAGTGCTATATATGTATGTAAATATTAAAGTTTAGGTGTGAGATATGTAAATACGTAAGAATTGTGTGCTGCATATGTAAATATTCCTTAGATTTTTCTATAACCACTTTATCCTCAGGCATGCATGGTTATTTGCTTCATATACGTTATATTTGTATCAACTCTTCATTTTTTGTCTTTTTAGTTTCCATATAATTATTTTTTTGAAATTCAAAATAATGCGGAAAATTTTATTGATATGAAAGAATAAAAAATAAAATAAAAATTAACATGAAAGTAAAGAAATATCAAATAATATATCTAATTAATCAATTCATATTAATTATTTAGAGATAAAGTAAACAATATAAAATAGTAAAGTAAATAAATTCAATTCAAGAAAATAAATCTAAAATAGGAAAGTAAATAAAAATATATTAAAAAATAAATTTAATCCTTTTAACTTCTAATAGGAATAAATTATTTTCTAATATAACTTCTAACACTTCCCCTCAAGTTGAAACATGGTTTCAGCTTAGATTTGAAAAACATCAAATAATGGGTGAGGAAGAAATTGTGAGGTAGAACTTGAAATTTTTATCCCGTACTGCAGTTGTCTTTGATTGTAGTTCTTGCGGTGTTTGTTGGTAGACAGAAGACTTCTGCAAATAATGTTGCAGAGGAGTTTGCAGAGAAGTAGATAACTACGGTTGTCTTTGACTGCAGTTCTTGCAGTGTCTATAGAAAAGAAGAGGACTCCTACAGATAATGCTGCAAAGGTGTTTACAGGGATGTAGATGTTACACTCAGGTGAGAGCCGGTTTAGAACGGGCCGGCCGATTGCATTCCCGCCGACTCACAGGCGGGGTGTCTTGTGTTGTGGGGTGTCTTGTGTTGTGGGAGGAAGGGGAGGGACCCGGGCAAGGCGTAGAGGAAGGAAAGGAGGGTTGGATTCCACTCGGGCGATAATCACATATTCAAGTAGGAGAATTTGAGGAGAGTTTAGAGGAGAGTTTCAAAGGAAAATTTTCAAATGCTTTAGGAGGATTCTATTAAGGGGAGGAACTTAAGATTTGTTATTTTTTATGTATTAGTTTTGTGCCTATTGTGTTTTCTTATTTTGATATTGTTTATAACGACGTCTAGGGTGTGAGAGAGCCGATCTACCTCTCGAAAGTAGATCATCTTTTGTATCTTGTGTGTTTTTCCTATGATTGTTGTTAGAGCATATCCCTTGTTTGTGTCTTTCCACGTATCTATTGCAATTTCATCGTGATTTGTTCGTTGATTTTGGTGTCGAGACGTATCAAATTGGTAACAGAGCATAGATCTTTGTGGGATGACAACAAAGAAAATTGATGTGCTAGGAGGGGTCGAGCAAATTCGATCTGGAATGGAATAGAGGCGTTCTACCATAGAGGACAAATTTTCTTCTATTGAAAGTCGAATGAATGATGGATTTGAAGGCATGGGGGAGATGCGGGAGATGATGAAAAAGCTCATGGAGATGCAATCCAAGGCTTTGCCGACCGCTCTAACTGTAAACCCTAACCAAGGGTTGATCGGAGCCCTTGGTTAGGTCAAAGGGGAAGGAGATCGAGCGAGAAGACGATGAAGAAAACATCTTCTATGACAACAGCGTCCTTCTAGGATTCCGAGAGAAGGGGAGTAGAGACTTCCGATGGAGGCGGATGGGCTGAAAATTGGAGAAGGTACGGGGAAGGGGCACAAAAGAATATGATGGAGGAAGGAGAGAATCGGGAGTGAGATATGCCTATGACCGTAGGAGGGAGTTTCACCCTAAATATATGGGGGGAAATTTCGGAGGAAGAGGAAGTTGGGGTGGAGATGCAAGTGTCAGGAAACTAAAGATGTCAATCTTCGAAGGGAAGGATGCACGTTGATCGGTGTTTCGGGTGGAGTAATATTTTGCGATCAACGGGTTGACTAAGGAAGAGAAGCTCTTGGCAGCGGGATTATGCTTGGAGGGTATGGCTTTAGCGTGGTTCCAGTGGATGGAGGCAATGTATCCAATACACTCATGGGAGGAGTTTAAGGTTTGCTTGATGGAACTTTTCTGAGTCATTACCTACACGAGCAATTGTATGCTCTGCTGAGAGAAGTTCGAGCTTTTGTCAGATTGTTGAGCGGAATTTCTACAGTAGGTTTAGAAGGGAACTTCTTGAAACACTTGAAGCCCGATATACACACGACCATCCGCCCTTTGAGACCACGTAGATTGAGGGAAATGATGGAGCTTGCCTAGATGATGTAGGAGCAAATGCGGCAACCCTGGGGGATTCTACAAGTGCACCGTGACAACCACGACTTCGAACTACCAGGCGGTGTCATTTCAGAAAGAGGCGTCGAAGGAGAAGAGTTTCATACCCTTCCCCGGGGGTAATTTTAAGCTCCTCACAGATGCAGAAGTGTATGACAAAAGAGCCAAATGATTGTGTTACGTGATGTGAAATACGCCCTAGGACACCGTTCCAGCGCTCCCTTCGGGTTCTTTTAGTTTAAGTGGAGGATACAGAGAGTGAAGACTCATAAGATAAAGCAGTGGAGGAGCATCTGCATTTGGATGTGATGAAGGTGTCCTTCAATTTAGTGCTGAGATTTTCCCTAAATCACGCCAGGATTGAGGGGATGGATCTGGGAACAACCAATTGTGGGGTTGGTGGATAGAGGAGCCACACATCTTTATCTCAAATCAGGTTGTGGAGAACCTAGGGTTGAAGATGGTGACTGCAGGGAGCTTTGGCGCCATTATGGGGACGGGGAAGGTGGACAAACGTGGGGGAATTTACAAGGGACTGGTGCTGATACTACATGGCCTACAGGTGGTGGAAGACTTCCTTTAGATTTGGGCAGTACATATATGATTTTGGGGATGAAGTTGTTACGAACATTGGGAGAGATGAAGGTGGACTGGAAGTTCTTGACGATAGAGTTCCAAGTGGAGGGCAGGAATGTGGTGCTGAGAGGAGATACTGGCTTATACAAAATCATTGTATCGCTCAAAACCATGAGCAGGTCGATTTGGGGAGCAGGACTGGGCTACTTGGTGGAGTTGCAGAGAATTGAGGAGGTTTGAGATTCAAAGTTCACAAAGTTTCCATATGGGATCTAGCAGCTCCTATAACAATTTACTGATGTTTTCCAACAACCAAGCTGGTTACCTCCTCGGAAGGTGCACGGACATGGTATTACATTGAATGAGGGTGTTTCTTCCATATACATCAGATCCTACAGGTACCCCCAGATTCAAAAGGATAAGATAGAGAAGCTGATTCGATAGATGCCTGAGGTTGGGATTATCAGGCCTAGTGTGAGCCCTTTTTCCAACCTCGTCCTATTGGTTAAGAAAAATGATGGTAGTTGGAGATTCTGCGTAGACTATCAGTCTTTGAACAAGAAAATGGTATTGGACAAGTTTCCTATTCCAATGATTGATGAGTTATTCAATGAGCTTTGTGGGGCAGTTATTTTCTCAAAAATTGATCTAAAGTCGGGGTACCACCAGATCAGGATGAATTCGACGGATGTACACAAGACAACATTCATGACACATGAAAGAAATTATGAGTTCTTAGTGATTTCGTTTGGCCTCCCCAATGCCCCAACGACATTTCAATCCCTCATGAATATGATTTTTCAACCTTATTTTCGGAAATTTATTCTAATTTTCTTTGATGATATTATGATCTACAATCTTACAAAGGTAAAGCACATGGGGCACTTAAGGACAATTTTGGAGACGTTGAGGGAGCACCAATTATATGCCAACTTGAAGAAATATTCTTTTGCACAGTTGCAGGTGAAGTACCTAGGACATGTGGTGACCAGAACAGACATAGCAGTGGATCAATCTAAGTTTGAGGCTATAGTTGATTGGGTAGTACCAATAAATTTGAAGGAGTTGAGAGGATTCTTAGGTCTCATCGGCTACTACAAATGACACGATAGCATGGTCACCGACAGAAAAGTTAAAGAAAGATAACTTCAATTGGGGAGAAGTAGCAACACAAGCCTTTGAACGACAGAACAGTAAACCATATGTGGAGAGGGATGCTTGCAAGATCAGCGGCCAACTACTTCAGCTATGTTCTTACAGCCAAAGCAAGGCTAAAGTCAGTATATGAGCGGAAATTGATGACCATTGTCTTGGCCATTCAGAAATGGACGATCCTATTTATTGGGACGACATTTCTTGGTCAGGACAGATCAGAAGAGTTTAAAGTATCTCCTGGAGCAGCAAATGTGACCGAGGTGCATCATAAATGATTGTCCAAGCTACTAAGGTATGATTTTGAGATTTAGTACTTGCCAAGATCGGAGAACAAGGTAGCTGACGCGCTGTCGAGAAAGGTGGGGGAACCCTAATTGACGACCCTATCAGTACCCCTGGTCCTAGATTGGGAGGCTATGTTGAACCAAAAGTAAAAGATGGTTGAAACTTAACCAGGAATTAGACAAGTTGTCTTGCTAGATTTTGGCTAAGGTTATTTGTGGGGTTTGGGAGTATTATGATAATTTGGCTCTTTAGGGTTCGAAGTGGTCCAGGAAGTGAAAATAAAATTCTTGAGAGATTAGTTTGACAATCCCGGAGGAACCTCCTGAATTTTCTTCTCCCTCGTAAACCTGTGTAAATCTCCTCATAGCTATTGCTTTGATTTGATGTTAGAACCACCTTTGATCCTTTTGATAGAGAGAGAAGTGAGGGGGACAACACGAGCTAGGATAGGAGAAGAGGGGGAATGAACATATAGAGCAGGGTTGTGTCTGGGTAGGGAGAGATAGGATGATTCTTTCATTCCAATGATGAATTGAGTGCAAAATTGAACAGTATTCATTGAAGATTATCAAATTCAAAAACAACCCCTTAACAAATCTTTCTTATCCTTATCAAATCACTTTCCTTGAAGATTCACAAATTCAAAATCAAACTTTCCTTGAAGAATCTCTCATGCATGTCAGATATTTGAGATCACGAGGAGTGATTTAAACAACATAAACTATTTCCTCAAACAGTAAAAATTAGCTAAGGAATACCCATCTGGTGAAAGAAGCCTTACAGGAGAATTATATGGGTTGTTTGGGCTTATGTGGAACATCCTGCATGCTTCTCCCTCGAACATCCTGCATGCTTCTCCCTCGTGCAGTTGAAGGATCTTATTTGATACTAAAGTTTTTCTTTAGTACATAATAACAGCTGGATCGTGCATAGGTCATAGTAAAACCAAAGTTGTTTTCTTATCTGTCAAAATTTATTCACAAGACTTGAATATGATTTGATGAAATAATGCTTACGGTAATGTGTTTATTCCTTTTTCAACATGCACCAACTCGCATAGAGGCTTGGTCTTTCGTTTCTTATCGCAAGGTCTTGCGTTTAAAGCCTGGCACATAGAGGTATGTGTATGCCTTAAGGAAAATAAAAAGAGGATATGCCTACTCCCATTATAGTATTGCTCTAATATTCCATAAAATTGGCTCCTCTCATTCTCTTTTATCCCTTTATGAAATGTCTCTTCAATACAAAAATTTATGATACTAAGGTCATAATTTCAACGCTAAAAAATATTGTTCACTGAAATCACACCCTTAACCATACTGTCATCCTTATAGTCGCACTCTTTGAAGAAGCATGACTATTTCTTATGCTACTAAAGCTTCTGTTCATAATCTTATGACTATTTCTTATGCTACTAAAGCTTCTGTTCATAATCTTATTTAAATGTGTGGGTAAATAGTTACCTTTGTCAAATATATTTTGTCATATAAAAACTAGTCATAATTTTTAAGAAAAAAATAGGCTAAAAAACTAATTGCTGTGATGGTCCCAAGACTTTTTCAGCGTGTTCATTTTAATCGAAGACTTTTTCCTTGTGTTCAATTTAGTTTTTTAACTCACAATGTTTCAATAATTTAGTTCCAAGATAATTGTTATTCTTTTGGACAAAATTTGGTTGGGGATTAATGCTTTTCTGGAAAACATTTTTGATTTGTTATTACTAGTCTCATTTATTTGAGCCGGTATGTTCAAATAAAAAATCAATTAATATATTTTTTTCATCAATTTTCATATTTTAAGAAGTGAATAGTACTTAATATTTGAGTTACTATTAGAACCTATATTAGGAAATAATTTATTCATATTAAAAGGAATGAGGATGAGATTTATTTCCTAATAAAACTTTATTTCCTTTCCTATTTTAGATTTATTTTTTTGAATTGGCTTTATTTCTTTTCCTATTTTAAGCATTCTTATTTTATGTTGTTTTCTTTATCTCTAAATAATTAATATGAATTGATTAATTGAAGATATTAAGTTTTATATATTTCTTTTCTTGTTATTTCTTTTATATTGTCTTTCCTACTCTATGATTCATGTAATGGTTATTGATACCCTCTTTCATATCAATAAAAATATTTTGCATTATTCTGAATTTCAACGGTTACCATTCTAAGGTAAAACTCTACTGTAAACATTAGTACGTAAGAAGTGAAGTTTGGACTCGAGAGGGAGAATCGAACTTACTGATCTTGCTCCTGGGATGGGAAAGATAGTCATACGAAAATCGGGAAGGTTAGCCTTCGGTTCTCCCTCCCTACAAGAATTGTTATTCTTGTTAAGCGCACTGCATAGATCTTTTCATGGAGACGGATGGAATACTTTTTTCGCTTTTTCTCAGTAGAGCTTCGTTACTAAAAGGAGATGTAGCTCGGGAGAGTGAGTTCAATCTTTAAGGTAACTCTAGATTATAATAGCATGTGTGTGGATAATATTCTTATGTGTCTCGGCAAGATGAAGTAATAACTAATATAAAATATAATGTACTTTTAAAATAACTAATCATATTCAATTTTATTAAATATGTAATATCAGAAACTTAAATTTAAGCTTAAGAAACCCTGCTGTAATAGAAGTATCATGATTAGCTGAATTTGTAAGTATTAGTACTCATTAATATCAGAAGCTTGTTGATAAATTTTAGCATAGCTTGTTTTCCATTTTGTTTATTCTTATAAGAGTATATGTTTTTGCCCTTGGTTACAGAAGTCAACTCACATCACATAATAAGCTTCGCTTTGGTTCAACTTATATATTTCATAGTATTATTAGGGGCATTCACTTACATACCACCAATTCTTATGTATTTATATATCTAATTCCTAAACTTTCACTTGTACATACGTAACGCTCAAATTCTTAACATCATACAAAAAAATTACTATTATTTACTTTTCTTATAGTTAAATACATTTTTTTTATTCATAGCTTCATGACACAAATGGGTTATACATATAAATATGAAAGTTTAGGTGATATATATGTAAATACATAAAAATTATGTGGTAGGTATTTAAATTTCCATAATTCACTAACTTATGAAATTTCTTTGATTATTTCCACATATAGGGAATGCATTCATCCCAGGATACCACAACTGGCAGTGATAGGGTACTCGGAGAGTCTTGCAAACCTTTATACTTCCGAGATGAGGGCGAGGTGGTTGGCTAATCTCCTCGGAGGATTTCAACTTCCAAACATAGAAAATATGGAGAAGGATATAATTGAATGGGACAAGTTCATGAAAAGATATTCACACAAGTATTATAGAAGATCAAGCATCGGTACAATTCATATATGCTATAATGATCAACTCTGTAAGGACATCGGTTGCAATCCTAAAAGAAAGAAGGGGTTTTTCGCGAACTTGTTCCTTCCTTACGGCCCTTTGGATTATGTAGGAGTTGGGTAGAAATGACATGCAATGAATTTTGTTCATACTTGTAAATGTTGTTATAGGGGTGATGAGTGTGTAGATGTGGGTGATTTGTGTGTTGAGAATATGTAAAGATTAAATAAATACTTATGTATATGTGTATGCATATGTGTATTTTGTATGTATGTATCTATGATTAGTCATCCAAATGACTTGTTTAAATCTCTTAAACTCTAGCATTTCTTATCTTATTTTTTACAGTGCTTTTTGTACAAGTTTTATAAATTATGAGGGCAAATATTAAAATCCCATTGTGTTGATTCCACTTTCCTTGTGCAAAGTCTAGTAAGTTTTGCTATAGTGGTGGTCTCTTTAGCTTTAAAAGAGTGATTAAGGAATCTTATGCCTTTACACAAAATAGAAGTTATTGCATAAGGCTCATTTGCAATTTGGGAAGGAATAAAATAGTGAAATTCATAAAGAAAAGGATCTTATTGACATGATTTTAATGTATTTCATTATTTTTTTATTCAACAATTATTTTATTTACCTTAAATGCTTGTGACAAACTATTGATTTTGAATTGTATTCGCTCTTGTAATTAAATAAATCTTCCCTCTTAATGTTGGTTGTGATATTCAATCGAGTATTGCTCGTGAGGATACCTTTGCGAGCAGTGCGAGCTAGACAAAAGCAAGTGGTCTTAGCCATCCTATAACACAATATAACTCGGATGCCATATTTAACCATATTCGTGTTTAAAAGATACTTGGCTTCCCTCCAATGTGATCAAATAAATGAAAATTTAATTTTGATTTAATATTTCTTAAAAGCTTTGAGATTCGTGTTTAATATCCAAATTGCACTTCAAAGGCTAAATTTTCTTTTTATATACAATTTTACATGAAAAAAATATATATTGTTTATTAATAAATAACATCATCTTAAGAGTACATAATTTATGTATATTTTGTAGTGTTATAAGTCAAACATTTTGATGAGTTCATTCAATTGCATTTACACTTTTGACCTCATTGTGCATGAGAAGTGTAGATGAATTAAGATTTATTACGTACTTGTAATAAATATTTGAAGAGGTGGTAGAAATGCAAAGCAAAATTAATTGAAATGGTAACCGAAATTTAATTTCTGATTTTAGTCAAAATTTACCAAATATTAATTCAAATAATTAATGAGAAGAAGCTTGAAATGGAATTTAAGATGGAAATTTTCTAATATAATTATATTCCTAATATTCAAATTTAAATTTAGGTGCATTGACATAGATACCACCTAATTCCTACGTATTTACATATCTACCATCTAAAATAATGTCACATCAAAATACAACCATTTTAACTTGTAAGAACAAAAAAAGTGAAATGAAAATTTTCATGTGCAGCTAAAGTGGTATTTATGTAAAAATTAAAATTTGGGTGTCGGATGTGTAAATACATATGAATTGAGTGGTATGTATGTAAATCTTTCTTAAATTGTAATAAAAATAATTAAAATTCCATCTACTCTAATATTATAATCATTTTAAAATAAATTGAATTTTTTTTTTTTAATGAAATTTATGAGGAGCACATTTTAAATGCAGAGATCAATGAAAAAAGAAAATTCAATGAATGTCAAACCCTAAAAGCCTGAGTGAGCTCAGGAGGCTATGTATAGATAGCAAGATACCAAAAAAGGTAAAGCTGAGTTGCGTCACCCCAAGAATGCCAATTTTGGCCATCTTCCTCACATGGGTCATCTACCACCATGATTTCTTAAACTACTCTCTCTCTCTCTCTCTCTCTCTCTCTCTCTCTCTCTCTCTCTCTCTCTCTCTCTCTCTCTCTCTCTCTCTCTCTCTCTCTCTCTCTCTCTCTCTCTCTCTCTCTCTCTCTCTCTCTCTCTCTCTCTCTCTCTCTCTCTCTCTCTTCTCTCTCATGCACCAAATTACACAATGAGATGTATATATTTATACAAAATATTTCAGAAGCACCAACTTGAAAAAAAAAAAAGGAATTTTGGCTGGGGAATAAACTTTTTTTTTTCCAAGAAGCGAAATTGGTTTCTCTCACCTCCGCAATGGTGGACTGAGAGAAGCCAAAGGGCACCGCACAGGCGGAGACAGGTATAAAGAAGCCAAGACTTCTTACCCCATCATCCCATAAAAGGAGGAGGGAGGAAGAAGGGAGGGAGGGAGACAGTACTGCTGAAGAAGAAAGACAAAGTACACTAACAAAGAAAGGAGGACAGAAAAGGAGCCTTTTTTATTTTCTTTTGCTTGATCTTCTTTTCTGTCCCAACTTATATCCGAAAGTTCCCTCTTTTGCTTGTGCTAACTGAAAATATTTTAGTAGAAGACGAGCTTTCAGCTATGTTGGGCTCTGCTTCTCCCTCAATTGATGTTGAGGACGAATATGAGAAGCTTGTAATCCGAATGAACCCTCCAAGGTCAATCCTTTACCTCTTCTCAGTCATCATTTCTCTCTCTATATCTCTCTGTTTTGGATTTCTGATGGATTTGGGGGGCTTTCTTAGGGTTTCAGTGGATAACAATAGCACCAAGAGAGCCACCTTAATAAAGGTCTTTCTTTTTATTTGATATTTGGGTTTTTATTTTGTTTTTCAGCATTAATATTTTGGTGCTTTGACTTTAATGAAACATCTATTTTGAAGCAGGTGGATAGTATTAATAAACCTGGGAGCTTGTTGGAAGTTGTGCAGGTCTTGATTGATTTGAATCTAACAATCAAAAGGGCTTACATTTCCTCTGATGGAGAGTGGTTCATGGATGGTAAATATCTACATTATTTATTAATTTACTTTTTTTTTTTTTTGCTCATAAGTTGCTATCTTGTTTTGGTTTGTTCCTCTGTAATTGGCTTTAGTTTATTGTCCTTTTCAGTTTTTCATGTTGTGGATCAAGATGGGAATAAGCTCTATGATAGTGAAGTCATTGAACTAATTCAGCAGGCAAGATTCTGAAAATCCCAATCCAAGGCACTATAAAAGACAGAATTTTTACTCTAAAAATAAAAGAAAAAAACAATTTTTTTGGTTCAATTTATTGATCATATGCACGAGAACTTTTTTTTTTGTTTCTGTTAATCTGTACTTAAAAATGACGTTTTGCTCAATCCATTGTTGAAGTCTGCATCTTTGAACAATTCAGGTGTATTTTCTCCTTGATGATTAGTCCACATTAATTCTTCCTAAATTTGTTATTCATGTACTTATTTGACTGTTTTTAGTACTTGTAATATAATTGATTTGCTGTTCTTCTACTAATATTTTCTCTGAGAATTCGAGCTTTTTATAAACTAGTGCTGTGATTCATGTCTGAGATCATCAAAATTTCATTATTCCTACTAACAAAAACTTAATAACCACAGTCACTAAGCTCAAAATCATCCAGCTTCAGATCCCTGAGGCAGTCAGTAGGAATCCAAACTGATTCAAAGCACATTGCAATCGAATTGATCGGCAGAGATCGGCCGGGCCTTCTCTCAGAGATATTCGCCGTCCTCACTGACCTGAGATGCAACATTGTGGCTGCTGAAGTCTGGACTCACAATTCTAGAATGGCTTCTGTGGTCTACATCACTGATGAAGCCACCGGAGGACCCATCGATGACTCTGACCGCCTAGCAAAAATCAAGCAGCTGCTTCGCTTCGTGCTGAAGGGAAACAAGGACAAACAAAGTGCCAAAACTTCAATCTCTATTGGCATGACTCACACCGAGCGGCGGCTGCATCAGATGTTGTATGATGATCGTGACTATGATCGGAATGATTCGTCGGTCGCCGATGATGTCAGGGATGACAAAATCAAGATTGTTGTGACTGTGGAGAACTGTATTGATTGGGGGTATACTGTGGTTTATGTTAGGAGCAAAGATCGGCCCAAACTGCTTTTTGATACGGTGTGCACTCTTACAGATATGCAGTATGTTGTGTTCCATGCCACTGTTATTTCTGAAGGTCCAGAAGCTTATCAGGTTGTCCTCATAATGTTGTTTAAGCTTAATTAGTTTTCTCATTTACATACATATCACCAAATTCTTAATGTATTTGCATATCTAACATCTAAACTTATATTTTTACATTTACACACCCACATATTTCATGCCAAATTAAAAATACCACTATTTTAGCTTCTAAGAAAAATGAAATACACCTTGGAATGGATTGGTATGTATGTAAATCTTCCTATTTTGAAAGTTAGCTTATGATTTATGTTGCAATCATATTTACTAATGTGTGCTTATGTTTTTATTAATCAAATAGGAATACTACATCAGACATATTGATGGCTGTCCTGTGAGCTCCGAAGGAGAGAAACAAAGACTGATTCATTGCTTAGAAGCTGCAATAAGAAGGAGAAGCACAGAGGTAGTACCCACCACAACACTCATAAACCTTCAATTCTGACTCAACTAACTCATATTTAAAATTCAGGGTTTAAGGCTCGAGCTCTGCAGCGAGGATCGAATAGGACTGTTATCCGACGTCACGAGAATCTTCAGAGAGAACGGGCTTTCGGTTATTCGAGCTGAGGTTTCGACGAGGGAGTCTCAAGCCATGAATGTGTTCTATGTAACAGATGCAGCAGGGAATCCAGTTGAGAGCCACATAATTGAAGCTGTGAGGAATGAGATAGGTGAAACAGTGCTGCATGTGAAGGATGGAGAAGGCTCCAAATCTCCATTGCAGGACAGTGGAAGATTCTCTCTTGGAAATCTTTTCAGATCTCGGTCTGAGAAATTTCTTTGTAATTTGGGTTTGCTAAAGTCCTCCCCTTAATTATTGTTAATTAGGGTGATTAAGGCATAAGCTGCTCATTAATTAGAGTATGATTATGAGGTTAGTGATGCTCAACTTGATGTTGATCAGGGCTTAGTTGATTCTGTACATATCTGTGAAGCAAATTAAGTGGTTCTGTCACTGCAAATTAGTTTTTTTTTTTTAAAAAAAAGCTTCAGTATAATTCTTAGATGGACTTCAGCTGTGCTTCTCTTTAATTTTTTCTGAGTCATCTAGCAATTGTGGTGACAGGAAGATGAGTTGTAAGGCAATGCATGGCGAGCTTGATGAAGAAATTATTAGCTGCGGACTCTGTATAATGAGTACAAAGATGTGCCCTCGTGTTATCCATGTATAGAACTACGTATATAATCAGCACTTCATAATTTCTCAAGTTGAAAGGCCATTTTTTTGAAGTCAAATATGACAAATTGTTTCATCGGGATTACATACATAGCTCTAGCACTTGGGTAGTCCCAAAGTAGAGCTTTATATGTAATCTGACAATTATGTTAGAAATTAATAGTTAGAATGTGCTTTGAATCTGCAAAAAATTTATGTCTGGACTCCTGACATAGCTCTACGTGCAGACTCCAATAATATGCCACCACATGTGCTACATCGCAGAGGTTATTTCGGGGTTATTGAAGTGGAATCGCGGAGGTTATTTCAGGGTTATTGAAGAGAAACTTGTATATTTCACTTCAATAACCCAGAAATAACCGAAAAATAATCCTGAAATAACCTCAGCGGTTCCATTTCAATAACTCCGACAGTGTTATTTCAGGGAGGTTATTTTGGGGTTAATAAAGTGGAACCACGAAGGTTATTTCGAGGTTATTGTGGAGTCCGCGATTTCACTTTAATATTTTTTAGGTGGGCCCGATATAGCACACATGACAGTATATTGTTAGGAGTTCACATGTAGAGCTATGTCAGGAGCCCAAACATAAAATTTTTCCTTGAATGTGTCTCTTAATTGAAGAGAAAACTCTCTATTAACTTCTGCACAGGCCTTGCACTTTTATATATAATTCACGTGTAATAATTTCTCATGAGTTGACGATTCTCGGAGCGAAATTGTGTGGCTTAAACTTCATAATGCAACCAAAAAAAAAAAAAAAAATTGTAGTCAGATGATGAAATGGATGTCTGACTTAACCTCCACCCATCAAACAAACCCCTTCTTCATATGTCTGCCAACAAAGTAGAGAGATAAATAATAGTGACATTCAACTTGTTTTTCTTCCATTAGATTCCATAGAAGCATGAGGTAAGATTGATGATGGCATGACATGGAATGGAACAAGATGTTGTTGGATGAATTACACTTTAGTCCTTGTAGTTTCCTCTAATTTGACTTTTTCTTTTTAATAATTTCAATTGAAGCAATCAAGGCTTATTTCTGTTCAAACCCAAAGAGTGGGGTTGAAGAAGATGAAGGGCAAAGTTTATAATTTTTGGGTAATGGACTTGCAAAGCCATTAATGGCAATGTCTCATTCTTGTTATGAAGAGTTAACATCAATGTCGGAAAATAAATATCTAAAAAAGGAGTGGCTCACATGTGGCCATAATAGGTGTGTTTTCCACGTTTTAAAGCAATACAAGGAAGATTTACATATATACCACTGAATTCATATGTATTTATATATCTAATACTTAAATTTCAATTTTGACATATATATATATGTAAATATATCGTCTTACATGTGCATAAATATGAAATTGTCGCTTATTATATGTTCAAATAATGATATTTTTGATGTGATATAAAAGAGTTGAGTGGTAAAAATGTAAAAGATAAAGTTCAGGTGTTAGATATGTAAATCCATAGAAGTTTGGTGGTATGTACCTAAATGCCCCATTTTTGCAATATTATATTAATTTTGATTTATGATGCAACTATATTCTCTGATAATAAAACATAGAGTGAAGCATTTGTTTGTGCTAAAAAAATATTAAATATGTTATTTATGTGTCCAATTAAAATACAACAACAACAACAACAACAAAAGAAGTGTTTAGCCCACTAAGTGGGGTTGGCCATATACATATAAATCCTCTTTCTCCATTGCATCCTATTGGGTGTAGTATTTTCATTTAATTCTAATAGATTAAGATCATTTTTTATACAATAACTCTATCTTCTTAGAACCACCTCTGCCTTTCTTAACACGAGTTGAATTTGGAACTTCTATCCTCCTAATCGAATCATCAAATGGTCGACAATTAATGTGAACAAACCCTGCAGCTACACCAAACCTATCACCAATCTCTCTAATCTTATCCGCCACTAGAGCTACACCAACCCCATCACAAATACATCACAAATATATTCATTTTATTCATTTCGCATTTTGTCTCTACGTGCGAAGCCCCTCATCCACCTAATCTTTCTCATTTCAACAACACTTAACTTTGTTCTATGCTTCAATTTTAGAGGCCAACATTCTGTGGCATGAAATATTGCACGTCTCACCACAATCTTAAAACAAAATAATTGTTAGAAAAAGAACATATAAATGATAAAGCCTTGTTTGGTCTGAGCCATAGAGTACTGCAAGTCTTCTAACATAGTAACATACAAATGGTTAGAATAGTTGCATGCAACCACTCAATTCTTAGGTATTTACATATCCAACACCAAAATTTCATCTTTTACATATAATCAACATACCTTTCATGCACCAAAGCCTTGCATAAATTCTATATTTCATTTCCAACCAAGATACTGCAATAAATAAATATTTCTGACAAAGTATTTACATTTATGTGAAAGCAGGAGGCAACCCATTCTGCATCTCTCTCCTGCTGCTATCCCTCACCGAATTTCTATTGTCAGTTTGCATGAAAAATATACGATAGATATTGGGTGGTCAGACCTTGCCAATACTGATTTTGTGAAAACAACATTTCATCTTGTTCTTCAATGCCTGCAGACAAGAATGTGATTTCTTATCCTGATAATGAATGGAAATTGTCTTTTTTTGTAATTTTGTTTTTTGCAAATTTGATTTATTGACACAAACAAATATATAAATAAATAATTTTGACAGTGATGTGTCTGGGCTTTTCTTTTCTGATGAAATCTAAAATTGCTGCTGAAAATCTTAATGGCTGATTCTGTTTTTGGATTCTTATATATATATATATATATATATTTGTTTTTTTGGTGTCAAAAGGTTTGTGTTCTTCCACGTAGTGTACTGATTTTGGTGCCTTGGTTGCACACTTTTGAGAAGTTATAATGATGATGCATCTGAATTGAGATGAAAGATTTAGATTGTATGCATAGAAAGAGTAAGACTTGGGCGTTAGATATGCAGATACATAAGAATTGCATTGCATGTTTATGTAAATATATCATTTCATTGAATGCAAATTATAATTTTGATTAATCTAATTGTGTTCTGCCTGAATTGCAGCACAAGTTTTTATTGAATTGTGCTTATGCATAGGAGTGCTAATAAATCGATCCATGGTGATAGTCTTGTGGTTCCATTGGATTGCTAGGAGTGAGGCTAAGCATATGGAGAATCTGATTTCTAAGATATTGTGTTTTATTTACATTAGAAAATTTATTTTTAACATGCGTAGATATGACAAACTTAAGAAACCGGTGTGTATGAACCTATTGAAGATGTTTAACAAGTATAATATTATTATTCCTATGAATTACAAGTCGGTGACTAATCTAGTTTTGTAGAAGAAATCTAAGAAAGGTTTTTTGAAATTCAATACAGATGATAGTTGGAATAGTTTGCTTGCTGGTATTTGAGGTGTGCCGGAATTCTAATGGTGCTTGCATGTTGTGGTATAATGTGCCGGTTTTAGCTACTTCTTCTATCTGTGCTGAAGCTGTGGCAGTGATTATGGCTCTGAATTTGGTTGTTAACTTTGGTTGAGATAATATTGAGATCGAAATGAATTATATGAAACTGTTGAACTATTGAAATAAGAAAAATGAGTAACATTGGCTTTTAATAGTTCATATGAAAAAAAATTCTGCTTTACTAGATCATATGCAGGTACAATGGCTGTTTATTCGTTGTGAAGGCAATCGGTGTACTAGTTGTGCTGCAAGAAGAGGTTTGGATTCTCAAGAGTTTACTTTTCTACTATTATTTCGTTGGAGCTTTCTCATTTGATTAAAGAGGACTGACCAAATATTTCTTATATTAGTGCAAACAATTAGGGCTGTCAAAATGGCTCATTGTTCGCGAACAACTCGTGTTCGGCTCTCTAAGAAGCTCGTGTTTGACTCGTTCATTAAATTAATGAGTCGAACAAGAATCAAAGATTGACAACTATATTATACTACTTATTCCCTAACCAACAATAATTAGAAGCATAACAAAACATTAATAAAGAACAATATTAGCAATAGAAGAGAAGCATGAAGTAAAAAAAGGGAGAGAATGCTACAAGAAGCCCAATTGGTTAAACCCTAAAGTCAAGAAGAAAAAAAAACAAAATCGTAAAACCTATCGTACATTGAGAAATAAAATTCAAACAATAAAAAAAATATATTAAAAAAAAAAAAAACACTATGTGGACACAATAACAATGGAAGCAAACATAGCATAGTTTCAACCATGCACCCTAAACAAAACTAAAATTGCATTAAAGAGGAAAAAAATGTTACAAATCACCCCCTACTCAATTCCTCTCACACCTCAATCCTGCGCACCATCTTCCTCATCATCATCTTCATCATCCGTCATATTATTAATCACCTCTTCCAGTATGCCTTTTATTTCTGCTTTTCTATGCATCAGATCAGTGTTAAAATGAGCACCTGAAAATTAGAACCCAAAGATCAATAGACTTCCAGAACAAATCAACAATATAAAAGCAAATCTGACGACTTCCAAACCTTAAGATTAGCTTTGAGATGAGTGAAGCACGCGAAACAAATTTTAAACAATTTTTGGCATTTTTCCCCACTTTGATTAATGTGTATTTTCATTTAGTTTATTGAGCACTTATTAGGTTTTGAAGCAAAAAAAGAATTTCACAACGCAACAAAAAGCATACCTAATTGCCTAATAATGTCAGCCAGGGTTGCCTGCATCAAACAGAGATGTTAGCACCATCAGCTTTTTTAAAAAAAAGAAAAGAAATCTATAAATAGCATTAAGATATCAAAAAATAAATACTCACAACATTAAAATCTACTTCTTTCAGTATCTCGCTGACCACAGCATGCAATTGTTCTGTAGTCGGTTCGCCAGAAGCATCCTCGGGTTTTCCTAAGAACAAACACAAACCATATCAGAACAAAGCAGTATGGTTGACAGGAATAAAACGTGTGTATTTAATTAGTTATTGTACTCCCAAAAATGGTCCACAAATCTCGAGACAATCTAACGGTCTAGATTAAAAGGGGGGGTAAAAAGAAGATCTTCACTTGATGAAAAACTACAAGCATTCATGAAGCCGACCGGCTGAAGAACTATCAACCGACTGGTGTTAGCCGACCCACGCGATGGCGACGATGACGACCGACCATAGGGCTGACGAGTGGCTGAAGGTCAAACAAAAAACCCAAAGGGTCGCCCAGGCCGATCAAGAACAGATATTCACGAAAATGAACGAACAGGGGTCCAATAACCCCAACAACTCTTAATGTGAAGCTCTCTCAACAACTTTCCCAAGGATCTTCAGAAATGACTAAGCACTATAATCAAAAAACCTGACCGTCCACACTAGGGCCAACTAGCTACCACTCTAAAAAACGAACGGCTACCACTCTCGAAACCGACCAGAACCAGGCAAAATAACTGACCGACACCAACTTGGTTGATTGACCAAAAGACCTCTCGAACAGAAGGTCCAGGCTAGATGAAAATATACCATAATCAATTACAAATATAAAAAGGCATGACAAAAGGCAATAATGCCCAGAAAGCCCCTATTAAAGTAGGTGCATTCGTGTAATTTTTCAGTTTTGGTCATCTATCTCCTATAAATAGGGGGGTCAATAGCATGTATTAGAGACTTGGCTCATCTCAAGACTCATACTTGGTAAGGAGAACTCTCTCCCCTTCTCTTTTGTAACCAACACTTTCAATATATAAAATGGGTCACAGAACCTGAGAATACCACAGTTCGCTCTTCGGGGCAAGTTTGATTGTGCTCTTTTTTTTTCCTCCCTGTGTCTCTCTCTCTATTTCTCCCTCAAGATTTATACCACTCCAATCCTTGGGCAAGCCTCACAAAATAAATCTAGATTCAACATCCTAAAAGATGCGTTGAGTGTGGAACATGCTACCAACAAGAAGAGAAGCAACACGACCGAGGACAAACGTATCTCAAAACTTTTAAACATTGAGCATGCTAAGAAGTTCATGCAACAACAGATCTAAAGCTGAAAATGTCATCTTTGTCGTCTTCCTAGAGGCTTTGACTAGGAGGCGAGTCTCACAATACAGATGGCTCGCTCCCAACAATCAAAGTGAGCCATGGACCGTACTTGCGCATCGCTCGGACAATTCAAGGTGGTTGACAAACAACTCAGCAGATAAAGGGAGTATGCAAAAACTTCTTTGGTGCTATGACAAATTTCTCTAATGTTTTCCCAAGGCCAAATTCACACTTGGGGAACTTGAACCAAAAAAACAATGTCGACATAAACAAAAGAGCCTGCAATGCTCACGCATCGTAAATCTTGGTCTCCAAGCTTGAATTGGATAAAGCTTTGGAAATGATCCCTACCTAATAGCGACCAACTCCGCGAAGGGTAAGGCGCAAATCACCCCATTAGCGAGTCTTGGCGGTTGCTCCCGCAAAGGCAGTGATAAGATCCATCAAAGCCCAAACAAAAGGTGAGGTCCGATAGAGGCGACCATCCGAACAAGTAACTGAGACCTGAAAAAGTCTAAAGCGCGAGCCGAACAACAATATCGCAAAAATCAACAATGACGCCATAGATGTATGGTAGGTAGAAAACAAAAAAAGACGACCGACAACGATGATAAAAATGTCCAATCGATGTCTTAACAACAAACTCAATCCATAACGCCAAGCATAAAAAAATCCAATCTCAAGCTCAATGTAGACAAAGCTTTAGAGGCGATTCCCCTACCCAATTGCAACAAGTTCCTCAAAGAGTAAAGTGCAAATCACTTCATTAGCGAGTCTGGATGGTTATCCACGCACAGGCAGCGACATGTTCTGCCTAAGTCCTGACAAAAGGTGTGGGCCGACCGAAGCAACAAGTCAGAACGAAGCAAAGCAAGATGAAGAGTAAGGTTGTGTCGGGTCGTGAAAAATCATAAAACAGCCGATGATCTTTCTCAAGATACAAGTCATCAACCAAAACAAACATCCATCACCAAGCAATTATCATAAGAAAATAATGCAGTAAAAGTAAAATAATAAATGAAGCAAAGGTATGAAAAAATGATCGAACAATTTCATTCATTTCAACTAAAGAAATATACAACTATTCTATGTATACAAAAGATTTTATTTATAATAGCTTTACCAAAGTTTTTTCTAGAAAAAATCAGTAAGTATCAGGAAGCCAACCGGAAGACCTTCCTTTGCCTTCGGCATCCTAGTCGTCCCCAGAAGATCCCTTAGAACTGGTATAAAGAGAAGAAAATTTATCTAAGTCCGCGAACTTCGAGTCGATCAGTCCGACCGATTGAATCGGTCGATTATTGTGATGTTGCAAACCTAAAACTACTCACATAAAATCTTTTCCAGGCTCGAGTGGGAAGGGAGGGCCTCGAAGAACTCGGTCTTAATCGCCGCCATCTATGCTATCAAATCCATGTTTTCTTGCTCGTTGATCTACAAAAGATCCTGAAGAGTAACAATCTCCTCCTCTACCGCTGTTAGTTTCCTCTCAACTATCATTGCTTGCTTTTTAAACTTCTTAGCAAGCCTAGCTGTGTTCTCAGCCCTTTCCGAGGCAGCGGTCCATTTCATCTATGCCCGGTCTAATCCATCGATTGGAGGTGGAAAGCATCTACGCCTTCAGGTGGTATAGATCAACATTCTTGTACAGTTCGGGTCGCTCAAGCGCCCGAAGAGATTTGGCAAATGCTCGTGACCAGATCACCTCCACAAAGGCGGACAAGAAGACTTCAGCAAATTGTGAATCGCTATACCAATCCACCTCCCAATCAACGACAGTGTATTGGCCATCAAAAGAATTTAAAAACTTAACCCCTTGGCTCTCAAAGTGAACCCAATCCACAGCCATTTGTCTTTTTCTCTATTGGAAAGAGGGAGTAAAAAATTCAATTCAGTAACTGGCTCCTTGTCTTTCCTATGTTGTACTTCCTTTGGAGAAATTGCCTCCGGGTCTATTTCAGACTCAATTCGGACATAAGAGGTAGGTTGGTTGGCCTCGCTCCTAGCAGATAAGCCAATGAATAAAGGATCGTGACAAGATGAATCCGACTGAGCTCTCGCCCCTTCCTCGAAAGATTCTACCTCAGCACCACACTCTTCGGAACGACCAGAAGGCTCCCCAATCGCTGACCGACAGGAGATGAATCTAGGACATGTATCAAAGATTGCATGAGCCGAAAGTCTCCTTGCAATGATGGTTACTTCACCACGGGCCTCAGTCGGCTTTCCTTAAGTCTCCGCAGCTTCTTGCCAAAAAAAAACTCCTTTTGCCTTGGCCTTCTTTCAGGCCGTCAAGGCAACAACTACTCCCTCTTGACCTTTGAAGCGTCAAAGGTGGCGCACAAGTCTGTTGTCATTCGACCGAAAATCCTAGAGAACAAGACCCTATTCACATTCACCGGATCGGTGTGCCAGGGAACTGAGAGAAGTTGTCCACCAATGTGAGCCCCTTGATCCAAAAGTAGTTTGTACCCTTCTTCTTCTTGAAGGCATCACCAAGCGGTACAGTCAGGATGGCCCAGCTCTCGAAAGATGAAGCAACAAAAAACTTAAACTTCCAACTCCTTAACTTTATTTCCCAAGCATGAAAAAGTAGAACAGGCCGACCGTCCCAAATTGCAAGTATTCGTTTGCTTCACTCGGCTCAGTCGTGACAACTAGACCAAAAGTTTGGCGAGTTTCTATTCGTAGCCATCGAAAAACAAACAAGAGGAAACAAATAGAAAAAGAAGAATGGATGAAGAAAAAACCAAGAGACAAAACTCATAGAAAAAGATAACATGCAAATGAACACCTGAACCCCTATTTATAGGAACCCAACAGAAGTGGAAACAACACGTGAGGATTTGAGAGGAAACATCACATAAATACAAAAAATGAGACAAAAAAAGAAAATAAAATATTTTATTTCAATAATAGGGCAATTACACTCAAATTTTAATCCCATAAGTATTTTACAAACCGGTTCACAGCTATCTCAGCCAAGACAAAACCCCCTACAAACTTGTCTCTTATACATCTTATTGTCGAGCTTGAACTAATTCGTTCAATCAACCTAGGAATGAACCCTCTAAACAAAAGCATCTTCCTGGAGTTCAAATACCTCTCAACGAAGATTAGTTATCTCCCCACACCTCCTCTAGCATCGCACGAAGATCTTTATCCCGTCGAGCCAAAGCAACTTCCATCTCATCCAGACGATGAGTCACGATTCTCGGGGATATCTGACGTCCCTCAACTATTTACTCCCAAGCCTCCACGGGATCAGCCGGGTGATTGGCCATGTTCTCGCTGCCGACCAACGCTTAAAGCACTGGAGTCATCTCCACAGCCGAATTATGGCTGTCGCCAACTATTGAAAAACCCCTAATCTGAGCATCCTCTTCTACAACAAACAAAAAATTATGTGAAGGATAAAAATCTAAAATAAAAAAAAAAACATGCACCCAAGAACGAATCCACCGTGAACCAGATAGCTCCACCTACATCCAACAATAAAAAGTCATAAGTCGGTCATTTTTCATCGACCGACTGATTTCTCCCACTAACTCCCAGTACACCAGCCGGTAGAGAATCGCTCGCCATCCCCAACAGATCCTGAAATTCAACTGAAGTCTTTGTTGAAGAACTGACAGCCGAGCCATCTAGCTCCTTCCGAGTGTCAGGTTGAACCTTCTCCAGAGTCTCCCGGATTGAGTCTGACGACTCCTCTACCTCCAGTTGCTCGGAGGATTTTGGCTTCTTCACTAACTTCTCCGATTTTTTCTTCGGCTCGCTTTCCGATCGGCGTTGTTTCTTCACTCCACGGGCAGCCAGAATTTTAGTCCAGTCGACAGGCTTGAGAGCTGAATTAGATCCCTTCTCCATAACAGCGTTGAAACCGAGTGAATGCAAGGAGAGAGATTCGAGATGCTGAGAACCGTTCACTATGCCTATATATAAGGGTCGTAGGCATGAAAAACGAAGGAGTCTAATCATTGCATTAAATTATAATTATTAAGATTTGATTTGTTGCATAAAATATTTTCTTGTCTTTATAGCAGTTATCACTATCAAAGAGAAAGAAAGTTGTGAAACTTATTATGTACACCCAAAAATAGTCAGCATGAATCTCGAGATAATCTAGAGGTCCAGATCAAAATGGATAAAATAAAGATCATCACTTGACAATAAGCAGAAAGCACTCATGAAGTTGACTGACTGAACAACTACCAGCCGACCGAAGGGATAGCGACAGACGAGCAACTGAAGATCAGATTGACAACCTAAAGGGCTGTCCAGAATTATAAGAAATAGAAACTCACATTAATGAACTAGCGTCTAATACCCCCAACAACTCTCATCATGAGGCTCACTTAACAACTCCCCCAAATATCTCCAGAAATTACTAAGGGACTAATCAAGCAAGCCGACCGGCCACGCTACGGCTGACTGAATACCACTCTCGAAATCGACCAACTAACTCTCAAAACCTACTATCACCAAGAAAAATAACTAATCGATGCCAACTTGGTCGACTGACTGAAATACCCATCGAAAAGAAGGTCAAGGTAGATGAAACGGTACCAATATCAGTTATAAATACAAAAAAGGCACGAGCAAAGACAATAATGCCTTGTAACACCCCTATTAAGGTAGGGGCACTTGTGAAATTTTTCACCTTTGCCCTCTATCTCCTATAAATAGGGACTGCATAAAATGTATTAGAGGTTTTTTGGCTCTTATATCTAGACCCGTACTTTGTAGGAAGAACTCTCTTTCCTTCTCTCTTATAAACCCCACTTTCACTATATAAAATGGGCCACAGAGAATGCAGCACTCGCTTTGCAGATGGGAATAACTTATTCTACAAATAATAAAAACGAATGAATATTTAGAAAAAGCTCCAGGCACATGTAAGAAGAATTTATTGATGTAAAAAGCCTGCAAGGAACTCAAACAAGTTATGAAAAAAATGAAATCTAGCTGTCAGTTGCTAGTTTTGATCCAAAAAACAAAGTCAGAAAGAAGCTCAAACTATCACAATATGACAGCCAGCTTGCATCATTCTAATAAATGTGCCCACATAAGAAAAAATTTTGAAGCTATAACGGGTCTCAAAGTTATTATATTTTCTCTGAGATAAGTGCAATATATGAGAAATCAGTTAAATTTAATATAGTATTCATCTCAAAATAAATTAAACAGCATTGAGACAAATTCTGACAAAAAGTTCTTGTCACAATTTTTCCCCCTTATCTATGTATGAATCAAGCAGGATAATAGCGAGTAAACAAGATAACTCAGCGCCAAAGTGCAAATTCTATGAGATCCTTTTCAAAGCACAAATAATTTAAAAGGAATTTGGCGACATTATACCTTTCTTCTTGGCTACAGTTTTCGACTTCATCTTTGCAATTTGTTTCTTGTTTTCTTTCACTTCTTTTGATTCAATTTTTGCAACCTTTCTCTTGTTCTCTTTTCCTTCTTTCGATGTAGTCTTTTCAATTTGTCTCTTGTTTCCTTCCTTATCTTTCAATGCAGTTCCAGCATTGCTCTTCCTTTTCTCTTTAACTTTTTCTGATCTACGGGACACACCAGAGCTGGAGTCAGCCTCAACTTTCTTTTGGGGAGCCTTTCCTGTAGAATTATCCTTGGAATCCTTTTTGGGCGTTGATTTCTTTTTGTCTGTCTTCGAACGAATTTTGTTCCCCTTACTTACTTTACTCTCTGAAGAGGCTTCTGCTTCATTATCAGTAACAGCCTTCTTTGTAGTAACAGCCTTCTTTGTAGCAGATGAAGATGAACCTTTTTTAGATTTAGTACGGGAGGCCTTTTTTACTGCTGAGGATTTCTCTTTGGATTTAGGCTCCTTTTGCTCATCAATCTCCTCCCCATCTGACAACATTTTGGTTGATTCAGGAGCTTTATGCACATTGTTCTCCTCTTCTGCCTCACTGTTAGAATGTTCAGTGGTTTCCTCCGCATCCATTTTATCTTCAGATTCATCATTAATGTCAACTGAGCCAATAGCCTTAATTTGATCTTCCTTGTGACCTTCAGTTTTCTTACGGGCTTTCTTCACTTCATGTTTCTTAATTTTTTTAGGTTTCTGCAGCAACAGCAAACCAGTTAGAAATCAAAAGACAATTTCTATATTTTATGAGTAAAAGTGGGGGCAGGGGACATCAATAGCATCTTTATTTAGGAATCGACTGAACGCTGTTGACGCAATTTAAAAAACTGGAGCAGTAGAGGCATAAAGTTTCAGAACAGACTCAACCGTATTAGCGAATGAGCAAAAATGCAATAAATGATGGCAGAAGCTGCAATTTCTAGGCAAAAATACGATAAAATGTGATGATGGATAACTCATGATAAGAAATCATTAATGCAACTAGTCCGATGCACAGTATGAATTTATGCAAAGAAAAAATGAGAGTTCACGTCCAGTAAGTCATCAGCTAGTTTGAAAAAAAACAATCTTTTAAATATAACAACCCATTAATGAAATTAAAATCCAATCGATAATAAAATGATCAAAATATTCCGAAAAATTCAAGTGTAAAATTATAACACAAAATCAATCAGCAAAAGCAGTTAACTTCCACAAACGGGACTTTCAACATGTCAAACTTTTTATCAAAATAATGAGTGCTACGAAGTCAATATCAAATTATAGAGATAAAATATAACAGAGAATTTTATTAATAAAACTGAGAATATAGAAAAACAATATTAAAGCAAAACCCAACCATAAATCAATATAAGGAGAACTGAGAATTCAGTAATTGCGCTTGCGCTTGCACTAGAATGAATCATAAATCCAACTGGGAAGATAAACTATTCAATTTATAAATTAATTTACATGCTTAATACTACTATTTATAGACGCCAAATCCTTGGGTTATTGGCTACAATTGAATTGGCCCAGTATAAGCCAATCTGATTTCAAATAACCATCAAATTTACACTTAAACCTTATCCAAAATTATTGAAATTAAAAAAAAATACTCAAAATATTGTATTTCACATAAATAAAAAATAAAAAAATTTAAAAAAAAATAACATAAGAGCGCTATCTAAAAATTTCTATAAAAAGAAATCTACAATAATCCCAAATATTGAACCCTATTATAGTCCAGAAAATAAGGGAATATACTGAATTAGTCGCACATAATAATTCTTGTTCCACTTTGGCATAATATTCCTATAATAGCACACAAAGAAACAAGGGTGGGTGATATAGTCCAACTAAGCCTGTAAGCAAACTAAGTACGCATAATGAATAACCCAAAACTAATTCATACAAGGGTTATCTATGCTTGCTTATTTAGAAAATTAAACGAGTTAGAAGAACACCTTTAATCATTTTCCTATAAATGACAAAACTTAAACACTGACTCATTTGTTCATTATGTTCATTAAAATAATCTTTTATTGTTATACAAGAAGCTCATTAAGTGCAAAATAAAATGTTGAAGTTTTAATAAAGAAAGTAGTTTTAATAACCTTTTATTGCTTATTAAACTAGTTTTATTATATTGTACTCACATAAGCTTAAATTTTATTATTTATTAGAATTATTAACCTAATTCATGTTTTAGTTAATATTAAGCTTTATGTGCTTTCTTTATTTTCATTTGTTTCCACATTTATGTATTTAAGTCTTGCCTTTTATATTGGTCTTGTAGCGTGTATTTATACAACTCATTTTTATCAATGAATGTACATTTAACATGGTATTAGGACCAGGGTTTTAACCCTAGAACTTGCTTCCTGCCGCAATCCTACTTCCTGTCGCGACTTTCGCCCAGTCTCCTATTGTCAAAGTTTTCCGCTAAGGCAGAAGCACCACTTGAGTGTTGTTGAGGGTTTTCGTTGTGACAGATGCACCACTCAATCGGTTAGTACTAGCTTCCAAACAACAAGATCCTGTTCGAACCACTCGAAGCTCCCTCTAGCAGTCCGCTGAACTGACTTGCAACGGAATCCAGCTGTCGGAATCCCTTTCCAGCCGCTGGAATCCTACTGCAAACATGTATGGCCCGTCCGGTGCAATATGGGATCTGTCAACCAGTCGGATCTCTGTTTTTCTATCCTCGATCAACAATCTCTATTTCTCAACACCTCAACATCAGTTTTGGCTTAATTGGAAGCACGACAAACTCTTCCACCATTGAGCCTTTTCCCGACGGTGTACATGAGTCCACTGGAGGGTCGACATCGATCTCAATCCCTCCGCAGACTGTAGGATCAAAAATCACATGAACTACCTAATCGCTATCCACAAATTGAACGGATCAAATTTTCTCCAATGGTCTCAAGCCGTGTCTTTGTTCGTCTAGGGACACAGGAAATACGACTACACCGGAATGATTCGTGAACATCCAAAAGCTGATTCAACGTATGAAACGTAGGAAGTGGAGAATTTCAATCATGTCATGGATGATTAAATCCATAGAAACAACATTTGATCGCTCATATATGTTTCTTCCTCTTGCCAGTGCTTAATGAATTGTAGTTCGGGATACCTACTTAGATGTAGGGAACTCCAGCCAACTTTATGAGGTTTCCAATAAGATCAGCAAGGCAAAACAAAATTCAGGACCATGACCCAGTACTACAATGATTTGGTGGCCTTATGAATTGAATGTGATCTCTACTATGATTACATGTGGAAATCTCCGGTAAACTTTTCCCTCTTTCAGAAAATTGTTAAAAATATTGCATGTTCAATTTTTGATAGGCCTTAACAAAGACCTTGATGAAATTCGGAGTCTTATCCTTGGTCGGATCCTCTTCTACTCTTGTTGCTTTCACAGAGATTCGACGCGAAGAGAGCCATGGACTTGTCATGTTCGACACTTCCACTTTAGTTGAATCAACTGTCAAGGTAACTAATAGTACACAACACTCGTCTATGTCATCTCGAGCCACCGACTTCACTTGTGATTACCGTCACAAACCCAGCTATACTAGGGACAAACGTTGGAAAGTCCATGGAAAACAAGCACACAAACATTCAGCCAAACCTTACTCTGCTAAGGATCTCACTACAACATCTAAAACTGCTTCACTTCAACCTACCTCCACTTGGAACACTCCAGAATCAGTCGAATCTCCTAAGAGTTAGATAAAGCAATTAATCAAACTACTTAGATCGAGTCAATTTTGTTCTGCTCCATTGACCTCCCATGTCCGTCAAGGTACCATTCATATGACTCTCACTTCTTTTGTCTCTTCCAGTCCTTCAATTATTGATTTAGGTGTCACAGATCACATGACTAAATGCTCCCAAATTTTCTCGACATATTATCCTTGTTCAAGAAAAATGCAGCTAAAATTATTGACGGCTCCTCTAACTTTATTGCTGGTAAATCATCGGTTGTATTAACAACTGGTTTAACTATGGAATTTGTGTTGCATGTTCTCATGTTGAAATATAACATGTCATCTGTTAGTAAAATGACACATGACATGTATTGTGTTTCTCATTTGTCTCTTGATGTTCGTGTCTTTCAGGATCGTCGTTAGGGAAATAAGCGAGTAACAGGACTTTACTTCTTCCATTAGAAAACCACGAACAACGATGACACCTCTCCCATAGTTGCAGTTTTTTTTCAGTCCACTGAATGTCATATTATGTTATTGAATTATCATTTAGATCATCCGAGCTCTCAATATTTGAAACATTTGTATTTGTCGATGTTTGCTAATAAAAATCTTGTCAATTTCAAATATGAGACTTGTCAATTAACTAAACATCATCGTGTTTCATATTCACCTCGCCCTTACGCGTCTTTTGCTCATTTTTCACTTATTTACAGTAACTTGTGGGGACCCTCTCGCACACATATTTACACTAATAAATGACGATTAATTACCTTAATTGATAACCACACTCAAATGATGTGGTTCTATATCTTAAAAAATAAATATAAATCTGTTGTCACCTTCAAAAATTTTCATTCATTCATCATGACACTTAAACGTCAATTTAGGTTCTTCGACCCTATAATGGCTAAGAAATTTTTAACTCTATTTTAGGTGAATTCTTGGAAAATAAGGTCATCCTCCATCATAACTCATGTACGGACACCCCCTCATAAAACTAGGTAGCTGAGAGAAAAAACTAACACCTTATCGAAATGACTCGCTCTATTATATTTCAATCAATTGTCCCAAAAAGATTTTGGAATAATGTCGTGCTTACTGCCACATCTCATCAATAGTCCCCACAAAAATTCATAACTTTCGAACCTCTTTAGTCATCTTGTAGTCATGTTTCCCTACTAATCGATTATTCACCAGTCTTGAATTCAAACTTTTGGGTGCATGGACTATATTCGAAACACTGGTCCAAATCGTAGTAAGCTCCATTCCAAGTTTATAAAATGTGCCTTTCTTGACTACTCCGCCGCTCAAAAAGGATATTGGTGTCAAGATCCTATCACAAATAAACTCTATATGAGTGTCGATGTCTCATTCTTTATAAGTGCTCCATACTTCTATATCATTCTCTCGAGTGAGGAGGAGCTTGATTTCTTCGACATTATTCCTTATCCATTTCTCCAACCACTATACCCAGAGAACCACCTGTCACTCTGGAGAATGCCTTTGACGACCCATTTTCACACACTTTAGCTTTACACAACCTCACTCTCAAGTTAGTCTCTCGATCTCACAAATTAATTATTGATTTTGAAGTAATCTTATATTAATAATTTATTTAGATCATTTATATCTTTGATTCTTGTTCGCCCCCAAATATCTAAAAGTTATTATTTTTTAATTTGTCACGACCCAGCCCGGGACTTGAAATTAATCAAGGCTGGAATAAACATTAGGACGATGGAAAATAAATTTTCGATTTTCATTTTTTATAAATAACATTTTAAGAATGAAAGTCATTAAACAATTTAAGGGCCAGCTTGGGGCAGCTGCAGCTTATTAATAAGCTACTGATAAACAGCTGATGCAAATAAGCAACTGAGCAGCGACTTATCCGAATAAGTTGATTGACTGTTCGGTTTGTGTTGCCGAAAAACAGATGTTTTGCAGATGTTTCTGAATAAATGACAATTTTGCCTATGTGCAGTAATGATTTTT